AAATTCTTTTTTTTTTTCATTACAGCATTGTGAAACCATTGTTTAGAAATGTCTTTCATTTTATATTGTATTCCCTTAGCTTGCTGTCTTTTTCTGAGTGACTTGACATTTACTGCACAAGCAGCACTTAAAGGCCTTTTTGTGGGTTTAGCCCTGTGCTCACATTACCAAATATCTGCTCAGAAGAATTATCTGTGTGTCTCTGGTGTTAGTCCTGTCTGGTGCACAAATTATTACAGCATACACTGTATGCTAAGTTCTCGTAGCTGATTAGCATGTCCCTAAAAAAATGAGAAATAAAAAATAATAATCCGCAGGTTGGATGGTTAATCACATGCACACTTTTCCAGACAGGTTCAGCAGGAGCTAACAGCTAAGATAAATGTTTTAAATGTACACATCAGGACTTTCTCACAAGTGTAATTTTTTTATCTGATTCAACTTTGGATCACTAAGAAGTGCAGCTTCACACTGGATAATGCTAGAAGTGGAAGAGTTGCAGTCAAAGTGACTCAAAAGTGCAGGAAGAGCATAAATGCCCCCACTTTTGTCATGGTTCTGAGAGAACATTTTTCTGTATTTAGAGTGTCTGGTAGATAGCATTTCTCCTTGCTTGCTTTGTGAGCAGTGGTATTCACAAAGCATGGTCAAACCCGGTCAAAGGCCGCCGGTGTCCTTGTCTCTCTTCCTCTCCACTGCACTATTATCAATCAGATACACCAGCCAAAGACAGATGGACTTGAATGCATGTACACGCAAACACACACTCTGAAACTTACTTTTACACACACACACACACACACACACACACACACACACACACACACACACACACACACACACTCCTTTACTGGAAAATGTAAGCAAGTTTCTCTCTTCCACACTGTTGGTTCTCCACCCCTCCGTGACTTCAGCTGACTTTTATTCATCATAACAGAATGAAAAATATAGATTTGCCCCTGGAGATTAGAACAAAGAAAAAAAATGAATGTATAGACATAAAGGAAGTAGAGCATGAAGGAGGGGGAAAATATGGAGAGGAAAAAAAAGTGAGTGAAAGAAAGAGAAAGACAGAAAAGGGGAGAGATGAGGAGAAAGAGAGATGGCCTCTCTAAGTGCAGCAGCACACAGGCACAGAGCTGTGAGTTCCCAGGCAAGACAGCATGAGCTGCCTATTTGTCAGCATTGATCAACCCATTAAGGGGCTGTGGTGGGAAGCATATTGGTTTTGGAGGCCAAAGGGGCAGAGAGAGACAAAGATAAAGCAAGACGGGGGGGTGTTGAACTCCTTTCAGCCTCGGCAGCCACACATCTGCAGGATGAAAAAGCCTGTAGTCTTCCTCTCCAATGTCTATGCAGTTCATTTTGCGGGGCCCAATGGGAAGGTAGTATATGTCATTTGTCTTACAGCATCTCTGGAGGCTCCACTTTATGTGTTATCTTAGCTTTCTGCTGCTGCAATGCTAATAAGGAAGTAGCTAGCTTCTCAGACAGACAGAATGTCACTTGTCCTCTTCCTCAGTGTGTGTGTATGGATGTATGTGTGTGTGTGTGTGTGTGTGTGTGTGTGTGTGTGTGTGTGTGTAAAGGGTGGGTGGTGGGGTGGGGGTGGGTCCTGGCCCAAGGGGAAAGCAGGCTGCCTCTTCGCCCAGCCTCTGATGAATTCATATAATTAACTCTGCCTTGATCTGTTGGCTAATCCTGCACTCAGTAATAAGGGATTAAAATGTCACCTAAGCCACCTGCTGTTATTGAGCCCCAAGACTTTTTGTGCCTGTGTGTGTGTGTGTGAGACAGTGAGTGTATGTGCTTGTGTGTATGTGAGAAAGAAAGAGCGATAGAGAGAGAGAGAGAGAGAGAGAGAGAGAGAGAGAGAGAGAGAATAAAAGTAAAGTCAACTTCAAGATTTCTGTGCAATAGGCTTGTGTGCTAAAAGCATAAAACACTTCCTGTGTTTGCACAAGAAAATATATGAAGAGGACACTATAACGTAGCTCAGAGGAGCAGACATCTTAACTACTGCTATATGGATGTGAGCGCTACTCACAACTCCATAGTCTGGCGTCAAGATGAACTCCATAATTTGGCAGGAAGCTGGAGCAAAAGTTGCAGCAGACTCGCTCTGAAAACTCATTGTCACAGTCACTAAAAAGGGACATGAAAGTGGGACATGCTGGAAGGTGGGAGTTGAGAAATCCTTTTTTTCCTCCCCTCTCACTATGACCTCTTTGGACCAAGTAAAGAAAAAAAGAAGAAAGAAAGGAGTGCCAATTGGTTGGCTAACAGCCCGCAGACCAACGGCCAGCTTGCCTTGCCTGCCTGCCTGCCGGCCACCTCCGCTCGGTTGCCTAGCAACCCCAAGTGTACTTTTGGGTTGTCTAATGACTCTTGTTGCTGCAGTGGCTCAGGGGCTACTAATGAAGCCTCCTGACCAATCGCTGTCATTTAAGAGCTGGAAGCTGACTGATCACTGGACAGGGATCTTGGGACTACCCTAAACCTCTTATGTGAGACAAATTCTCCCCCCAACTTGAACTGCCGTCAAGGCACACACACACACACACACACACACACACAAACACTCACACACACACACACACACACACACACACACACACACACACACACACACACGCACACTTATAGTATGTGCACACAGCACACCTTAACTTACTGCTTACAATGCTCCAACTGACCTTAATTCTCTCTAACACACACTCACATGCATCAATGCTTCAGCCTCCCTGAACTTTACCTAAGACTCACATGTAAACATATTCAATGCAAAATTGATAGCTGTAATCCAGCCAGAGATAAAACAGTAGAAAAGGGTTCTAGTCTGGATGTTTAAGGCCGTATGGAAATGGTAATAATGATGCTAGAGGCCCCTATGTCTAAGTCTATGATCCACACTATAAACAAAACCCAGCAGGACCCCATTTTCACTCCTTCGTCCCAGAGCCTCAGTGAGCCAGTCCCCAACAGAGGAATGGCTGTAGCTGAAACATCTGGACTCACAGTCTCCATTGAGAACATAAGGAAACTTACTCTCTCAAGCTTTTTTTTTTTCTTTCAGGTCAAGTAAGTCACCTCTACTTGCCTTTTAATTACATTTACTGTTAAAGGATACATGAAATATGTCTGAATAGCACTGTTACTATTGATGGATGATGTTTATTCAGAGTGACTGGCAGTGCATCAGCAGGTCAGTGTCTTTCTCAGTGACGCTTCATCTCATCAGACACTGACAGCTGCAGAAACTGAGTATATGACCTTTGTATCCCTGCTCATATGCAGGACAGTCACTTTAAAGAGGCAATAAAACCCTGAAACATCATAATGTGAGAGAAATTTGTGAGTAAGATGGGATTTGACCGTATTTTTTTGGTTTGGTATGGTCTGCAAGCTATCAGTACCATCCACCTTGATGATGATGCTTTATTTACTATTTGCCTCAGTTTTTACATATCATTAGTTTAGAAACTACAGTTATTATATATATCTGTGTGGAGATAAGTAGGCAGGTTCATTTGTATGGGTGTTATTGCCCCTTAGTCTGTCCGTGTGTACATGTGAATGTGTTTGTGTGTGTGTGTGTGTGTGTGTGCATGTGTGTGTGTGTGACTTCATGTACTTGTCTTTGTGATGCATCCGTCATCTCTCAAAGCTTTGTTCCAGTGTCACAGCATATTGCTAGGCGAGTACATTACGTCCCCAGGGTGTCACCATGTATACGCTTGTCTATACATGTCCACCAGTCTTAGGTCTATATTTGGCTGTGGTCCGGGCTCATGTCAACTGCTGTCAAGTGCTGCGTTGCCTAAGGGCCCAACACCCACTGTGCTGCCCTAGCTGACTGATCTGAGTGGGCAGTACCGTGTGCCATTCACTGGCACTCACATGATGGACCTGTCTGCATGGCCTAGTTAGAAAGATAGGCCCACTGCCAGCTGAAGCCAGAAGAACACAATGCCAAATATAAAACACAATGCCAAATATGACACGCGTGGGTAGCCTCAATAAGCAAGGGTCTTCGAGGGTGGCTCTTAACACCCACCGTTTTCACAGAGGAAAGAGGGAATATCATTCCTGTTTTAGAGACGGCACAAGATCGAGTGTTTTTCTGGTTTCATATTCAAACTCCGGGGAGTGAGAAAAAATGAAACCATAGTCAGGGGAGCAAAAAGAACCAAGGGAGTTTTTATTCACGGCAGGCAGTTTTTAAAAGGGTTTTTTTTTATGTTAGCTTGGCGTCCTTTTACTTTCACCTCACTATGAAATGGATCTTCAAAGGTTGTTTATCGATTTGCCACTGTTAACCTTTCACAAGCTGTTTCACAGCTACGCTTTTCGGTGGCTCTCGATAGTTTCCAGGAGGAGGAGGATGGGGAAGAGTGGGGTTGGCTGACCGGCCAGTGGGATATTGGTTGTGAGTTTCCAAAGGGCTTCTGGGTAGAGAGTTAAGAGATGTGGAAAGGATGGAGGCAGAGGAAGAGGGATTGCTACGGGTCAGGGATGAGCAGGATATAGCTGGTGACTGGGAGTCTGGAGCCAGGAGGGGACAGGAAGAGCAAGGGCCAGCCAGAAAGGACCTTTCCCTGTGGGGCTGGGAGTGGCTGATGTAATGGCATTAATCTCCAAGTGCCATCTGACACCCAGTGTGGCTCCGTCATTGAAAAGTGCTAATTCTGCTGAACTGTGAGGGGAATTCAGGCATCTCTAGAGGCAGTACCCTGGATTAATTAAACACGCTGGCATGGAGCACTGCACAGATTTATCTCTTTTACGGCATCGTCACTGTTTGATTTTTGTGTTTAGCCCACAGAGCAGGACAAACTCAGGACATTAACACCAGGAACACTGCCACATTTCACTTGTTCTTTTCCCACTACACATATTGCAGCGGTTGCTCCTATCGTTGCGTGCTAACCAGGGATTTCCCTTCTCTTCCTTCTCTCTCTTTCTTTTTCTTTCCTCTACTTCTTTCTCTCTCTCTCCAGATGAACCGGCCCATCCAGGTGAAGCCAGCCGACAGCGAAGGACGAGGAGGTAATTAACCTTCTCCTGGTCTCTGCTGCACCCCCCCCCCCCCCCCCCCCCCCCCCCTTAAAAAACACACACGCACACACACAAACACACAAATACACTGGAATAGCGCACATGCAATCCTTAATATTCTGCTCTCACTTGAGACACACTGGGAGTTAGTAGAGTAGCCCGTAATATAGGTCACTTGCTTCTATTGACTTCCCATCTGTGCCAGCAGAGGGGCTGTCTCAGGTTCACAGTCACTGGGAGCGGTTCAAAGACAAGACAGAGACATGGTGAGAAAGAGAGAGAAAGAAATGAGTGGATGGAAAAGCATGTGGAGGGGAGGATGTCGATCTCCACAGAGTGATAGTAAAGTCTGCTTACAGTTAAGAGGCAGGGTAGCACACATACAGATACACACAAAACCTATAGAAACAGCTCAGAGATACTACCTGGAGAGAGACAAGTGTAGCATGTCGTGACTTCAGGAGTTTGTGACTGCTTTGTGCTATAGACGGTATCTGTTTTTGTGTAGAAATGAGAGAGCAAGTACTTACTTACAACTTACTTGGTTATACACAGTCCCTGTTTCACTACTTTGAAATCAACACACATACACTATCTATTAATCAATATAATTACTGTACCTGGCCTCCAACTTACCTATAGCTACCCATCTCTCTCTCTGCTTCATTAATAGCATTGGGGTTATACAGTCAGTCGAACCATCAGAGAGTCAGATTCAGTGTGATTTAATGTGTGGTGATAGACTTTCAGTTGGACTCCACTGACATACTGTGTATGCATCATGCATGCATCCTATAAGTTATATTAGGCCATTTGTATTAAAAGAAAGTTTGACTTTAAAAAGTACACCTGTACATTTAAAGCATGGACATTTAAATGAGCACTTCTGCTTTGACATTGTGCTGAGGCGTCCGCCCTCCATCTTTAGTCTGACTGGCATGGTGATTGACTAGATCATTCTGAAGCCATTTGTGACTAACATCACTGAGGTTAATGCAGATTAAGCCAGTTAAAGATTTACATGGGTGGAATTGGATCTAATTGGACCGGTCTGTGTCTGCCCTGTGCTTGCATTTCAGAGTGGTGATTTAGACTGCCTAGGTCAGATTAGACTGAGCCACTTCGCTGATTTATGTGGTCAAGTGTGAATCAGATGGCCCATTTCTATTGCCACACACACCCCGATGTAGATCTTATTTTTGTCATGGCGGCACTTTAATTAACGGCCATCTAAAAACAGGCAAAGTCTGACCGACAAGGCCTGGGCGAGAGCCAATCGGCATTCTCACCAAGATAAATTGGATCGCTGGGCTTAAGAGGGGAGGATGGATGGGTCCCAATATCAATTACTACCCTTTTTTCAGCAGAAAGAGAAGGGAGATGAACAGGCAGTGTGAATGAAATACAGAGGGCTCTTAGGCTGGCACAGCCCCTGCTAGTCTGTCAGATGAACTTTCTATATGGGAGGACAGGATAGGACACAGCACAGAATGAAATAAGACCAAGCAGACAGGCCCCAACAGAGATATTGAGCGTTAATGGCAACAGGAAGTCAGCAGACAGGCCAGGGAAGTAAACCACAGTCGCGGCTGACAATGAAATGAGATTTACTATGAAGGCCTGTGGTTAAAGGAAAATAGACAGCCCAGCTAGGACCGAGTAAAGGAGAGAAAGTTGGGAGGGATTCATCTGTGGAAGGCTGAGGACCAGTCAGGTACACCAATCCCAGAGGGGCCTTTGGATTGTCAAACCCAGGGTTGAACTGAGACATTTGCACCTACAGAACGGAGTCACATTCATCACTACCGAGACATCAGCAATTATCTGTCATGGGAACTTGTGCAGGGGTCTCAATTACGTGCCTATGTAGGCATTAGGGCCCATTACTCCATTTGGAGACTCCAGTCGCCCTTCTTTTCTTCGCAGTGTCCCTGAGAGACATCCTCTCTCTGGGGAGGTGGGAGTGTCAGGAGGAGAAGTAAAACCAGAGCTCGAAAAATGACTAGGGGGGCCCGGCGCCACACAATCCTGCCGCTCGGCTGCCATTGTGGATCACAGAGCTGATTCTCTGGCTGTCTATTACAATGACTCATGTCTTATTTTATTTTTTCCTTGGATTATCAAGAGAGAATGGAGCATGGGAGGAGAGCTTCACAGCCTTTAAATCTATTTCTGTTCCTTGAGTCAGAAGACCTCTTTCCCACAAAGTACATTTATCTGATGTGCTTAACACCACTTTTTTCTGCCCAAATCTATCAAACCACGATTTCAACTCAGAGATATTGAGGCACAATTGTGGCATGGGTCCTTTGCTCACTCGCTCTGTGGTCAGTGCAGGAACAGACACACTACTATATCTATTCTTGAAACCTGAGCAATTTGCTTCAATCTTAAAAGGGCAGAAATGAGGAAAAGTAGACCTCTTGTACTCTCTCCCTTTCTCTATTGCTTTCTTTCTTTCCTCTTTTTCTCTTCCTTCTCTTTGTCTTATTGGTACTGCAGTGCAAAGGGAAGAGATGAAGCGAGTGATAGAGAGAGAGATGGGGATTCAGTACAAGGCCCATGGAGGAATGCAAGAGAGTGAGGGATGGAAGACAAAAAGAGCGAGAGGGGAAGAGACGACAGGATGAGAAAGTTAACGGAGGGTGATGGAGGCAGCTGAGTGAATCTCAGCAGTAAATCATCTCAGAGCCGCCCCATCCCTATCTCCTCCTTGCCTCGCCAGGAATCTTTTTTCCCCCTGACCTTGTCTGCCGCTGTGTCTGTGAAGAAAAGATGGGGCCAGATTATCTATGATTGGAGATGGCCATTATCTAAACACAATCTTGGACTCAGGTCCCACTCCTCTAGCCACTGCTGTGAGACTGGAGACCACACTGATGAGAAGAGAGATGATGGGTCAGCCAGCAACACCCTCTCCTTTTATTAACTCTGATAAGATGGTTTCAACACTCCCCCGAAATGCCCAGCAACCTCCATCAACATCGACTTTTTCACAATGTGCCACTCACAGTGCATTTGTCCACACAGTCTTCTTACGCCACTCTTCTTGTTTATTAGCTCTCCCTACTTTTGTTTTATTGGATACTTATACAGTGCCAGCAGCATTGCAATCCCTGTATTTGAAAGTCAGTAGCCCTGTGTGAGCCTTTTTAATATCTTGTCCATTTGTCTGTCTGGCTGAGGGGAGTCTTTTGTGAATGGTTCGGGTTTGTCCTTGCCAACCTGCTGCTCTTCAGAAGGTTGACCCCAGTTGGGCAGCGGAGAGATTGACAGGACCTTAAGATGTTGCGCACTGTGCTATCATGCCCCACCCCAGCAGGTAGGGAAGAGTGAGGGCTGCTGGCTGCCTCAGTCTGGCAGGCCACAGGGGAGGGGCTGTCTGGAGGCACCTCACGCCCACAGAGGAGCGCGCTCCACTTTACATGCAAATGAAGCCAAAAGATCCCTCTGTGCCTCTGGACACGATCGTGCAAAACTCTGAAAAGTCAAGAAGAACCCTGGCAGCGGTTGATATCTGTGTGCTGAGAAACACACTGAGACACACACAGAGACATGTAGACACATGGACAGACAAAAGATGGCACAGATTTCCAACACTGACCATTGCAGCGTATTAATTTAAGGTGTTCAGGCAATGATTTGTTTTTTTTTGCTGAGCTCCATGATTGGCCCTTGCCATTACAGAACATATTTCTAATGTAGAAAAAAAAAGGAGTAAAAATATTTGGACAAAAGCTGCAACAGGCAATTACTCAGTTGTTCTGTGTTGGTTTTTGATCTTGCATACCAGAAGGTTTAAAGCTCCCCTCCCACTCCCTTGGGTAAATGGATGTGACAGCTCTAGAGGTATGAGTAATGCATTTACAAACACGAAGCCTGTATCCCCTCATCGTGCCTGATACACTATACACTGACAATCTGAATGTTTGTTCTCCTCTGATTATTCCATTTACCACCTCACTATACTGGATAATCCACTTGCATACATCAGATTGGGACCAGCAGCAAAAAGGTTTAGTGTGTGGTTGCACATCATTTTCACTGAGATGGGGTCTAATTAAATCTGTTAGCTGGGTAGGAACTAAACATGAGTTAGAAGTAGAATGGGGCTTATTAAGCAGTTTAAGATTGAAGCTTACAAACAAAGGGAAATGCTTGTTGGGGTTGAGAAATACAGCTGAACATATACCTATATCATGCATGTTGTTTTACAGTTCACTCAGCAGATTACACTTTCTTTACATTAACTTCAACACTGCATTTGAACTGTGAATATTAACACTGAATTATATGTCGCGTTTGAGCATTTTATCCTTTTTTCATCATTGTAATTTTGTAATATTATTTCATTGCATTCTTTTTTGCATTTGTTCTAAAGAAGTTAGCATAAAAACTTAATATTAATGCTAATAGGTAGTATTTGTAACACAAGTAAGTGAAGTAACTGAAGAATGTTAGCAAACCCTAGCTGACAAACTCAGGCGTAGCAGCATCTGCCAACAGAGACATGATGTACAATAGGAGGTGCAGAGATCCTGAGTATCAAGCTGCTGTCCTGAACTTTCATCCCACTAGCCACTGACTCAAGTTAAAAACAAATCCATAAAACTTCAACATTACTTTGAAATAGTGTACTGGCTGAAATCATCGACCATCTGGGTATTCTCTCTCTGGGCCAATTCCCATGCTAAGGAAAGGTTGTTAGGCATATTTTTAATGCTGACCAATGGATGCACAATGTGAGATGTGCAGTTTGTCCATGCTGCATCAGAAACTTTTTTTTTCTGTTGAGTTAACATGCTTCCATTTGTCTTTATGTTGTTTTTCTCTGGCCTATTTTGAAAGCCATTTATTCCCAATGAATTTGTTGTGGGTATCTTTCAGTCATTCTTATCATTCACTGCCATTATAGAAAGTAATTGTCCCTCACTCACTACGCAGTCCCCAAATTTTGCAAAAGCATTGATAACACGTATTTGATACGTTTGTCTAACAATTTTTTCATTAATAATTATCCTATTATTTACTTTTATAAGTGACAGCTTGTCTAAGCAATGATTAATCAACTAATTAATATAACTGTTAATAACCGTTTTCAGCACAATTTCTTTAATAAGAAAGTTTTTGCAACTAAATGAGGCTTGTAGGAGGTGAATTATTCTGAGACGTTATTTGTGGAAAGGAAATTTAAGTCCGTTCTGTTAAGAATGCAAGTGTTGTGGCCAAAGTACTATTAACTCCAGATTTAAAAAGTTAAAATAATACTAGATAACAAAAGTTGCACAATGCTTACAATGCTTAATGCTCATTATCTAAAATGCTTATTCCGAAAGCAAACGGCACCTTTCGATTCCAAACAGACTCCTGTGTATATACATATATTAGATGGTGAAAAACAAAGTCTAACTCAATATTAAGATGCCATTCCCCAACATTTTGTACACCCAGTCTGTACGCCTACATGTGTGAGCGTGTCTGGTGGCGGGCCTCCCAGGCAGCAGCACACCAGCGTCAGGCTTTTCTAATGAGTCCATAAGAAGCACAACTTCTCTGTTGTGCTGCCTGGAACATTACTCTGCATTTGAAATGCACCCAGCGGCCTAGCAGGCATCTTTTATCGTTGGATGCAGCTGTCCATGCTTTCTGAACACTTACTACTACCAAGCTTCCCTGACTACTGCCAGCGGGCAATAAGTGATAGAATCATAAAAAAAGAAAAGGAGGAAAAAAAAGGAATATTTACAACGACACAGGAGCAGGAGAGTAATTCTTTAAAGAGAATATTCCCATTATTGGCAAACAAAAGCAGAAAATTTTGAAAAGTAGACTTCACAGCAACTAAATCTATGCCTGGAGAGAAAGAGTAGTGTGAGGGATGACAATAAAGGATTAAGAGAAAGATACAGAGAGAGCAATAGATAGACAAAAAGAGAAGAGGGGGAAGGAAAAGCACAATCTATATGCATATACTGCAGCCTACAACACAAGTAGCACTTTATTCCAGGGAGAGAAGCATCAATCTTGACAGCATATGGCGTCTGTGCAAAATCCATTAATTTTTAATATACCGGGCGCTGAAATGAAAAGGCTTCCTGAGACAAGCAATTGTCAGATGTCAGTAGTGTTTTGATAACTTTTTTGATCTCCTTTTTTATTTGCATTCATAAAATGGGGCTGTCCACATGCCACCTCAGTTTGGACATGGCTGGAGACTGACATGGAACCATTTTCCACTCAGCTGCTCCCACCTTCAGTCAGGAGATGAGACACTGGGGGAAACAAAAAAAAAAAAAAAAGAAAAAGATGTGATATGACTGTGATGTGTGTGTGTGTGTGTGTGTGTGTGAGAAAGTAAGTGTGTACAGGCTGAAGCAATTTCTTCACCCACTTGTGCATATGTATGTTACAGAACGTATTGACAAGCAATATCAAAGTGTTCATGTATACTGCCATACACCAAAACTCATTTTAAATAGTATATATGTCCTTGAATCTGCTAATTACATTCTAAAGTATACAGCAGAAATGTTACCTAAGTACATGGATTAATTAATGGTGTTTGAGTATGCAACAAGGAAATCTAGATTATGTAGCCGGGCTTTCTATACACACACACACGCACACGCACAAACGCACACACACATTATTATTTTAAAGTAGTGGCAAGGTTTGAAAGTGTAGATTACAAAGGTCTCTTCAGAGTACAGCAGAGAAGTGCTGTAAAGCTCAAATGTTCTCCAGCTGTGTGGCTCAGCTCTGGTGGAGGGATAAGATGAGCCTCTCTCAATGAGAGATAAGTACAAAGAGGTCAAACAGTCAGCTCAATGAGTTTTGTCATACTTCTCTATCCTCAGTTAGTTCCATAGGAAGGCCCTCAACCCTCTTAATGCAAATACATGACTATTAGACAAGAGTTTTTTTTTTTCCCTCCATTCCCCACTTTTAATGGATAACTCTTTGGAGTCATGGAGTCATCTCCTTGTGCAGAGGGTGCATTACAAGATATTTATTCATATTCATAAAATGCCAATTTAACGCTTGCAAGTGGCCATAGGAGATGAGCGGGAACTTGCAAAATCCAATAAGAGCTGCTTTGGAGACAGGTGCAAAGTGGACTAATTAATAGCAATCTATACTCTGGCCAGGGCATGCAGTGGGCCGACTGAGACACTCTTAGGTCAGGCAATGAAAAGATAGCAGCTCCAAATTCATTTTCTCACTGTGGCTCTCCCAAAGGAAGGCTCCGAAGTACACTCACACTTCCTTTAATGCCTTCACTGGGGTGTAATTTATTTTTGCGTTTGCCAGCACATTTGGAAAGTTCATTACCTCTCTCATGGCTTGTTAATTAGCCTTGTAAAGCCGCCATTAGATCTCCTCGGGCCAGGACCGAGATGAGACTTTTGTCCCAAAACATTAACACACTGCAGGAGGCCTGTAAAACCGCACTCTGCCCATTTAAGTGGTAACAGTGACACCTCTGTGAAAATCTGAAAGATGGAGGGGACGATCATGGCAAAGTCACATGTGCTGTGGACGAGCTGTTGCCTGTTTCACCTCTGCTGCCACAGACAGGGGTCAGGCTCATTTCTCTCTAACACCTGTTCTGGGCTGACTTTACAGCTACGCAACCCCTCCACTGGTGGCCAATATCCAGCTAGACGTCTGTCCTCTTGTCGGCCTTTGCTAAATCCCAGTCGACAGTATAAGTGGCTGTCTCTGTGGTGATCTCCTCGGGGTTCTCACTCACTTCCAACCCTGGAGCTCCAAGGGATGAGGACCAGTAATGAGCAGGCTCAGCTGGTGGGTTTGAGAAATCCTGCTGTGTGAGGTGTGACTACAGGAACATGGACTGACACCACTGCTACAGCACCAGCAGTAGAGACCAGGCAGCGTGGCCTTATTGATTATGCGGGTGCTCATTTGTGTGGCCAAGCGGGTAGCAGGCACGTGTCTCATTTGAACTTTACAGGAATGGAACAGGATCCGATTTCCCCGCTGCAAAAAGGAAGCCCTGGTGCTTTATTTTTAGAACAGCTGCGTCTAATGGGGCCTGGCAGGTACAGGAGGCGTCACATCTGTCGAGGCCCAGGTGATGCTCTCGCCCTCCACTCCTCCCTGCTCCTCACCCACTCCCTACCAGTCAAATGACTCACACTGAAGATCAACAGTGTCATTTCCAATAAACTCTTCTTCCTCTTCCTGCCACTTTCCATCAGTTCTGGCGATGGGTTCTTGCTAGTAGCTATTTCATTCCACAACACAGCAGAATAGGGGATGCATAATGTAAAAGATGTAAGGAAGATGAATTCTCTGTCTAATGCCAGAGCACCAGGAAGATTAATTAGAAAAATCCAGCTTTCTGACTGGCCAAAATTTAGTGGTATAGAGCCCATACATCTGAGCCAGAGTGCCCCCCTCTGGAGCTCAGGAAGCGACTAAAAGTTCATTTGGAGCAACTCTGTAAATTTCACTCTAGTTAAGTATTGGTCGGGAAATTGGGAAAGGTCAGTGCTGAGTACCAGCCCAGCATTTAGACTGTACAGTGGGGGTGGCTTCCTCACTTTAACACTTGTCCTTGACCACTTACACATGACCTTAAAGAGTCATAGTCCCATAGCCCTGCTATTTTCATTATTCATATTTTGCATTGATTTCAAGTTCACTTATTTTACTGTCATTATTTTCCACTAAATAGCCAATAGGAAGTGGATCTGATAGCTACATTTTCCTGTTTTTGACACAAAAACTAAAATCATTTATTCATCATGGTGAAAAGTAAGAAAGCTAATCAAACCACCACAGATTCAATAGTCAGGAGTTTATATAACATAGTACTATGTCTACTATGATGCTTTGTCATTGTCTTTGGTTCTGAGGCATGAGAACTACACATGTAGCGTTCATAGTTATTATGTTTTGTAATGGTTTCTGCTAACACCATTCTCCATCACTGTGCTGACGAGGAAGTAATAGGTCTTGGTCATGGTTACTGTGGTTATGTTGCACAGAAGAAAAAAAACTCAATTCCCCTTTAATTTGAAAACCACATATAAAGAATTATGCAACGTGTGCACAAGATAGTAGGAAAATAGTAGAAAGGATAAGGACAACTTCTTTCTCCAAGTTGCACTACGTGAACCTAGCTAATTCTCGTTTTAATTTGTTGCAACTGGTAGTTGAAAAACTGCAAACCTTAGGCGGATAATTACCCACAAACAACTTCACATTGAAAAGCATAATCCAATACTGCACAATGCACAGAATACAGTTCAGTTTTAAATTTCGCTTGACTCGTTTTCTGAAAGTATTTGTTCCCTGACTTTCACATGTATATGAAAGTGGAGAAGATGAGAATAGACTTGAATCATAAACCAGTACACAGTTTATCATTGGGTAGAATGTGCTGCAAATGAGGGAAGACCTTTAAACCACCTTTGGATATTATTCATGACCCCTTGACACAGAGTTTACTCTTGCTTATTACAATTCCTATTGCCTTGGTGATGAGAAAATGTAATACCGTGTTCCCGTTCCATGTTCTCTTTCAACTTAGTGACTTAAGCATCCAGACGATCTAACAGTTTGTCTACCTGAGCAAAATATTCCCACTCTCTTTCTACCTTTACCTGAAACCCACGACGCTCAGAACATCACCTGTATCAAACATCACTGTGGCAGACTTGAATAGCTCTCTCGAAACGGGAATATATCTCACCCTCATACCAGGGTGGGGTGGCACACCACACAACAGCAAGATCAACAACAGCAGCAGCAGCAGCAGTGTAGGCTCAACACAGCGACTGCTATAAAGGGGGATGGAGGGATGGGAGGGGATGGGGGGGTGGAGGGGTGTGTGTGGGTGAGTTGCACAAGTTCCTCTCAGCTCAGCAGAACGGTGCCATCAGCTGTAGCATTTGTCTGTTCTCTCCTCTCTTCCACCCTCCCTCCTTCCCTCCCCCCCTCCCCCTCTTCCTATCCAGAAGACAGGAAGCTGTTTGTGGGAATGCTCGGCAAGCAGCAGAGCGAGGATGACGTCCGGCGGCTGTTCGAGACCTTCGGCCAGATCGAGGAGTGCACCGTCCTGCGAGGGCCTGATGGGGCCAGTAAGGGTCAGAGCCCACACACCTCCCACTCTTTTTTTTTTTTGCCCTGTCTGTCCCTCTTAATCCCCGTCTGTCTGTACTTGCGTCATCTCTTTTTCTGCTCTTTACATTTTTAGAGCCATGCTTCACCCGATGTGCACTCATTGACATCGTCTGCGATCCACTCCGCTCTTCTGAATAACTCATCTTCCCCTTCAGCCATTCTGTTTTTTCACCACCTCTTATGTGTCTCGCTCGCATTTCTTTCATACCTCATTGTCACCGTGCTCCGACACCTCCTTCCTCCCACTTTCTTTTTCTCACTACTTTCCGTATTGCCCTTCCCTTTTTTGTTCGCGCTCTACCTCGCACTCCTTTTTTTTTCCCTTTCTTTCCCTCCCAAACTTCTTCTTATGTTGTCTCTTCATCACAGCAGCTCCTCTCACCCTGGGCTTGTACTCAACAAATACATCAAACAACACCTTGTCTCTCTGCTCACCCCTCTCCTCCTCCTCCTCCTCCTCCTCCTCTTCCTGTTATCTGAAAAGCGGAGGGGTGTAATCATGTTTGTTTCCCACATTCCCGTCATCCCTCCCCTGAGACACCATTGGACGATAATGTCCTACTGTAAATAAAGCAGCCAGGCTCTGGGTTTTGCTGCTGTCACTCACTGGGTGGCAGATTTGCATGCATTCAGGAATAGCTTATGCGTTCATGTTTCTGGCTCATGTGCTATTTAGTTAGTAGAGCGTGGTCAGATTAAAGATGGCTGTGAAATGTGCGATGCAGGTGGAATTGTTCTGAGAGTACGAGAGGCTCCCAGATCACCCTTTGATGGGTCTCTGTCTCGCAACCATATTTGGAGTGATAACGCTACTGACATCGTTTGGAACCTCTATCTTTCTTTCCCTCTGTTGACTGTGATTTATTCACCTATATGAAGCATGTGAATGTGTGAAAACAATGTGTGGGAAGGGTAGGGAAAGGGGCTGGTAATGTGCGAGCCTTCTGTGTATATCGAAGAGAAAGGCGGGTTACATGAACCACACGCCTATCTGTGTCTGCATCTGTTCCTCTCACTGTTAATCCTGGGTCTATTGCTCTGCGTCACCCCACCGGTCCACTACCTGTCTTTCTCCCTGCCTTGTTTCCTCTTTCGCTGTCTCTCTCCAGCTCCCTCTCTTCCTGTCTACTCAGATGCCTCAATCTGATTGACAGCACATAAAATGAAATAAGGCCAGTGCTGCTGTGTCAGACAGGAGCTAGTTTTCTCCCTCATTCGCGCTTTCACTCCTTTTCACCCTCCTGCACCCCACACCTCAACTCTTTTTTTCTTTTTCCTCCCTCCACATGCCATACCTTTCCTGTGTTGGTATTTGTCTCTATTATCGCTGGCTTGATCATTCCCTTTTCTTCAAGTTTCACTGCTATGAAATGGAAAACTGTGGAGTAATGTTAACTATGAATGCTACCACGAGACAAAGGTCTCATATATAGGTATCTGGTCCTATCACTCACTGTGCAGCAGTCCTACGCAATCATTACGGGATGTTACGGCAAATTATTTTGCCAGCCGCCTCGCTCGGGATGAGGTCCCCATAATTTGAATGAGACAGACCTTGAAATTGACAGTGCTATCTGTTCCATGATGGAGGCTTTGTCCCCTGTTGATGTAAATTTATGCTACTCAGAGGCTTTTCAGCACCCCTCTTCACCCAATAAAAAGGCCGAGAAGTTTAACATCCATCTCTCTTTGGCGCTGCTCCTCAAAGTACTTTCAAAGTGCAACACTTGCTGCCAGAGTTGAATAGAGCCCCGAATTGTCAGGAATAATAGAGAGATGGCTTTTAGGTCTATAATTAAGTTGTGTTATAAATGTCACCCATCCAGTGGGATGGAATTCATGCATACATATTATTACCCCGGGAATTCAAAAGGCAGCGCAGATCCTCTCGCTTGAAAGCAATACAATCTCTCTTTTTCCTTTTTCCCCAACTCATTCTGAGCCATCAAATTCAAAAACTCAAATGTGCACTATAATTTATGAGGCTGTAGCACTTCCAATTCTTTTGAGATGTTGTGCTCTGTGTCCCTTAACTTTTTTTTTTTTTTTTTTTTTTATATAAAGGTCAGCAGAATCAAGGCTAATGCATTGTTTGTTGATGGAGAAATTTGAGAACATTGTATGTTCCACGTGACTTTGCCATTGATGGTGTTCTCCAAGCCCTGCAGTTTTGAATGTCTCTCTGGTTGGGCTGAGCTGACGGGGTCACAGGGACCCTGGCACAATGTCTGATAGCTTTGTTAGTGAACCCACAGCAAGGTATCTTGCCTTCCAAAACCAAAAGGCTTCTGCGAGAACAAACCGCCCCTTATTATTTCAACTACAAAAGTTAAATGCATTTGTTCCTACAAAGACAGAGTTGCAGTAAAATGGCACATGTAGGCTGATGCATTTCCCTTGAACAAATGAAGACCTTTACTGTCTCTACCTGGAGGGGTGTTCAAGTGAAGTAAAAAGGTGCTAGAGTGCTGTGAGAGAATCAAAGTCTTCTTTGACTTATCTGTTTGCCTCTGTAGATCTATGCAGCTTTGAGGACATTTGACAGTACAGAAAACACATGGCCTTTACTACTCACCACATTTCTGCTCACAATAGTTTCAACTACTTACCATTTACTGTGTGGCAGGAATGTGGATGGAAAGCCTCAGGTAACGGAGGAAATTGTCCTCAATTGTGCACATACTGCATGTCCTTTAGTTCTTTTTTTTTTTTTTTTTTTTTTTTTTTTTTTTTAGTTTGTCAGGAAATTACTAAGTTGCATGTCGAGGAAGCAAAACTGACGCCTGAGATGTAGAAGTGAATGGATCGCTGCCAAAAGCAGAACATCTCCTGAGCCTACCTATCAGTGTTTGTAATTTAAATGAATCATCATGACTCCTGTGGGAATACAGAGTGAATAAATGTATATGAACACATGTAACCATTTTAAATAGGTATCAGCAGTTCTCAAGAAAGCAGGGACTGAACTCAGGGAAAGACACGGGTGCCACTCGATTAATGAAAAGGGGGCAGAATTAATCCACGAGTTTGTTAATTAGGTATCTCTTGACTTAACACATGAGCTACCTGAAGGCAAGGATAAGAATAGGACATAACAGAATACCTCTTGCAGTCGATGACGACCATAAAGCTTAGAGAAATAGCTCCTGTTTAATTTAATGGCTTTTGGAAAATTACCGCGTTTCAGTTCCACTGTAATTCAGTTCACTGGCTTTCTCTTTATGTTATAGTACTTTAGCGCCTGTCCTAACCTACACACCGATGAACTATTTAATAACGTGGTTAGGATATGTAAGCTTCAAAAACACATACTGTGCATTATTATTATCTATCTGAATCATTTTTAATATCATTTGAGATATTAATTCAACAAGGCTCCGACACACTGCTGCCAACACTCGTTCCCTTGTCTTCGGGCCAACTTTTTATGTTGGCTTTTCCTTTTGTGCATTAACTACACAACAGATTTAAGATTTTTTGAATGCCCCTTGAGCAAAGCCCCCTCTCCCCCTGCATCTGAAATTATATGCGAGCAAAGATTTGGTTAGATAGGCAGATTATAATACTATGCCTTTGTCATCATAATCTCTTTTATGAGTGACTGCACACAAATCATAATGTGTAAATATTAAACAGATTAATAATCACAAACAAGTCAGGATAGTAAATGCCTTGGCTCCATGCTCCAAAGTGGAGGGGGTGGAATTAGAAATGGGCAAGGGACAGGATGTTCCACGCAGCTAATGCCTTCACTACAATTAGACTGATTTATTCAGAGTTATGCGCTGAACACACAAATGGCAGGATATATTTACAAACCAGATAACATGAAAACAATGGTAATGAATGGTGTTTCCCCCCCATTTTCAAGGCCACCCCCTGATGTTGTGCCCCTCCCTTCTATTTCTCTCTCTCTCTCTGTGTACAGGCTGTGCCTTTGTGAAGTTCTCCAGCCACGCAGAAGCGCAGGCCGCCATCAACAGCTTGCATGGTGGACAGACTATGCCTGTAAGTAACACACACGCATAACAAGTGTTGTCCTAATGACAGAATTAACTTTAGAGTGTAATTTATTTTAACACCGTTAAGTGTTTTTACACTTGATGTGGACCATTTTAGAAAAGGTTTTGCAAGTGATGTCATTTGGTTGTCTACTTATGCCAGCTGTTTCACCTGTGCTGCCAGTTTTATAAGATGTTTGAGGCAGACTGGGATGAAGTTTATAACAAAGATAGACAGATAGAAAGACACTGAACAAATCCCCCCTTAAAGTTTTCTATTCCTCATACATAAGCCCACTGGAGGATGTATGCCTCCTTTTGAAATTCAAAACTGCATGTTTTTGTCATAAACACAAAATTTCTTCATCGCCACTTAGAATAAATAAAGTATCTAACTATCTATCTATCTATCTATCCATCTATCTAATACAGTGGAGTACACACACACATATGTACTTTTTTATACTATACATATATGTGTATAGTCACCACTGTGACATCAACAGTCCACAGTGTCACATACATTCTCCCTGTGTTATCGCACACAAAAGATTCCCACAGTCAGCATCCGCCACCTTACAGCGCACAGCTGCATATTCTGTATCTCAGTCTTTTCACTCAGTATCCATTTCCCTCTCCTGCTATTCAAACTACCTTTTGAGCAGACTGATAGAGTATTTACATTCACCGCCTTGATATGATTACTGCGCACCACACACGAATCCTTGAATGTGTTCTCAGAAGACATTGTACTGCACATGTCAATATGTCATTTACATGTTTTAGTTAAAACTGAAGGAAAGACACGGGTGGAGATGATGGAAATAGAAAAATGAGGATATATAGTGCAAGCATTGTATAAAATGATATTGTAGGTATGAGTTTATTCTTATTTCCATACTATACTCCTTACTATACACTGATTAAACAGCACAATTTTGCTCAGATATCAGTCTATGAATAGAAACAGCAAAATTTAATTTAGAACAACTAATGAATATTTACTACTTTATTCAATTACCATTCAAATTGAATTCAGGAGGTTATGGTTGCATTGCACATTGTATTTCCACTTACTTATCGTCGTGTTACTTAGGGAGGAGAAAGGCTAAAACAAACTAATGGAGAGCTGTTGGCTCATCTAACAATTACCCTACATAAATGTCTAGAAGAAATAAACCACCACATTGGAGTCCTCTTTCTAGTCCCCTCTTGACTTTAAGTACAATACTGACTTGCATTTTATTCCTGGTTATGTCCACCAACTTCTGAAAAACAATATCAGAATGACAAACAAAAAGTTGTGAATTAGCCAGGATGAAGCGGTCACAAGACTTCTGGATGCAGCTTTTTTTTTGATTATACGGTTTGTGATGTGTGATGCAGTTGAGGCAAATTCTCTTCTGGAAATGACATGATACTGTACTGCAATAGGAGACGAGACAGAATTTTTATCTATGTTCTAAACAAGAACAAATTAAAGCTTGGATGAACATTTTCTGATTACTTATGGATTAAAAATGTTTCTATATCGCTGCCAAAAGTTAATAGTTTGAACAGCTCTCTTAACCTGTCCCTGAAAACTGAAATTAGTGTGAAATTAGTGGCTTTACATTTGGAGACAGTGTGTCATCTTCATGGTGAGGCAATTTAACTGGTTGTAGGGTGTCAAGAAAGATTATTTCTCGAAATGGTGTAATTAAATTTTTGCACTTTTTATACTGTTTAGGCAATTTATGAGAATGGCTAGACAGATTTTTACATCACAATATAAATGTGTGTCATCAGCATAAGAGTGAAACCTTTTTTGTTTGCTTTTGATACATCCAAGTAGAATTATGTATGAATAGTGGGTGGGGAAAAAATGAATAAAGTAATGATAAAAAACTAAATAAACTGGATAGAAAAACTAAACCCAGAATCTTAATCCAACTGAGGATAAGGAGATTGTGTCTATTGTTGTAAACAGTTTCTTGGGAAGCAGTGCAAGCTTTATCTCAACAACCAACTGCTTTAACAAAATGAATGAAACCACTGGCCAGAGTGCAATAGATAATAAATAAAGTACAAGCTCTGACTGCTGAACATTTTGTAATATGATGGGGACACATAAAGGGCTTCATACATGTCAGAGCCTCTTCTAGCAACACGTGAGAAATGACTTGAAAGCAGCTCATAACTGCCGAAAAATGATTAGCAGTGACAGTGTGGCCCCTGTCAGGGGGCTGCGTTTTGTTAAAGAATATTAAACATTTACTTGAAAACACTTATCAAGGGAGGCTTCATTAAAGTGAGTATAAGGGAGGTTAACAAGGAAGTCAATAATATTGAAAAGCACCCTAGAGTTAGGATGGATCTTCAAAATGAGGTCAGATTAATAAGCCACTTTTGCTTCCTTAACCGCTTCCTGATATTTGAGCATGAAGTCTTTCATAATATTGTGGGACACTTGCAGTTTATCAGCCTCCCATTAACTTTTAGCTTTTCTACATTTATTCTCCACAGCCTGGGACCAGGGTATTCATCTTGATATGTTGTGGAATAATGTTATGCTGTAAATACTAGTCATATTGCTGCATCACCTCATTCAGTTACAGACACAGAACACAAATACAGGTGTCTGTTGTCATGGCTCTGACACATGTTGACCATTACACAGAATCGCACAGCTTCTTGACATATAATGAAAGGCAATGCCAGAATCATAGTGGTCAGTGGAGTGTACAGCGCTACACAACAGATGAAGATTTAAATGTGCTTTTGAGTGGTGTAGAATATAGTTTAGCTGTGAGTGTACAAGGAATTGTGGAAAGTAGGTAATGGTGTGGCAGTCCAGCTTGATATACAGTAGTTATGAGATGCATGAAATAGCATTAGTTGGTGTTGATTTGTTTAGTTGAAGATTGAGGCCAGTTAATTACAAATTGGATATGCTTCTGTCAGGCTTGAACAAGGCCACCAAAAAGGCTTAAGTAAAAGAAATGATGAATTAGGAAGCATCTCGCTGCCAGTGCTGCGTGTGTGTTGAGCGCTGCACAGCTGGACACACACATGAGCACACACTCTTTCTGGCAGACATCCGCACCTTCACACACTTCACTGATGTTCCGCAATAAATATTTACGGACGCTTCCTGGCAGCCAGATAGTGTCCTGGAAGCCAGATGTAATTTACACATCTTTTTGATGCCGCCTCATTTTGCATTACATTGAAGTAGTGAGGGAGGGAAATAAGTGGTAGAGCCACTTTAACTTTGTGTGTGGTTGTTGTGCTCTGCAGAGACCAAACTTTTTGGCATGTAAACCACAAGGGTCAAAATTTAATAAGGCGCCGGCCTAGAGCCAAACAATAATCATGTTGCCCACTGATCATGCACAATTACTGAAATTTGGTTATAATCAAGATATTTACCTTCTACTCAAAATATCTTGTTGACTCAATCAATAGAATATGTTTACATCCAGAGGATTTACATAATTGGACTCCTGTGAGGCTGTTTTTTTGCTTACTTATACAGATCAAAATTTGGCTCATGCGCAGTAGCTTTGTGCACTTGTGTGTGTTTGTCTTGCTGTAGCCCAGGCAGAGCTGCATTAGTTTGGGTCACAAAGCCACCTGAGGTCTGCTGCAGATGAACTGTCCAAGGCAACATATGGAGCTCCAAACAGACCTGGGGCGGATCACGAGTCATCCAAAAGTTCATTAATAATCTATATTATCCATATCTCTCTCCCTCTATCCCCGCACCTGTTATCCTCCTCTCCACAAATCCAACTTCCTCTCAGATTAATAGGCAAGGTGGCCATTAGTATCCAACTAAGGCTTTGGTACCGATGGGGGATGCAGTTAATTTGGATAATATCACTGCCACATGTCGTCAACAACAGACTAACAGGAGGCAGGATTCAGAGAGTGGGCTGCTCTGCTCACTGCCTGCTGCCAGCTGTGAGGTCTGGATGAACCTTGAACAAAGAGTTGTCTCTCACTTCCTCTCTGTCTCTCTCTCCCTCTTAATGTTCTCTCTACAGCATCTGTGTTACCTGGCACACACGCACATGCCATAAATAATACCTCCACCAAAACACGCTGGCCCAAAATGAAAGGCTTTAATGAAGCTTAAGGGCAAGGGATGCCACCAAAGGGCATGCGCTGATAGATCGGGTCATAGCTTTAATTGATGTTTATTGCAGATTGCAGGTGCTTCCAAAATTAACTTAAAAGGTGATTGGGCACAGAACAGTCACTCTCACTGGTTTCAGCTGTTGCATTACAGTAAGGCTGCGGAGGCACAGGTGGCAAAACTTCAAATGTCAAAGCCGAGGGCAGCCAGACAGCACCCAGCAAATTGCAGACATTGTCACATTCGGTGTCACAGCGTGGCTGACAGGGCCTGTGGAGCTCTCCGGTGTTGGCAGCAACAACAGCGTGCATGTGTGTGATACTATAGTTCTGGATTAATGAGAGATAAGAACAAGCCAGAGAGCATTGTCATTGTAATACACAAGTCATCAAACACCACATGAAACTACTGTAGAACCTCGGCAGGCTTGTGGCTGACATACTGCATGGAGTTTTGTTTTCTTCTGTCCGCACATATGATGGTGAAAACTGCTGTTGATGGACAAAATGGAGCCGAGTGAAAAACACCATTATGAATGACAGGTATTCTTCTTCTGCGTGTTTCGGTTTGATGCGGTGTGCTCGGCAGCCGCAGCAGTATGTGGTGGACAGCAAGGCCAGACCAAGACAGCATCATCCACTGCTAATGAGAGACAGCCCTCCCGTGAGGCTAGCAAAGACGTAGCAAGGTTCAGAGAGTTGAATACCAAGCCCACAGGAGGTTCATCCAATTACCAAACAAACTTGTTCCGATGTATTCAATTAATTTCTTACAGATTCTCGATTAGCACTTTCTCTAAGTCTGTAGAAAGCTGCAAGTTTTGCCTGTCATTTAAAAGTAGCTGCTGTACGTTTTGCTGAATGACGGGGGAGAAGGAGGTTGTTCGCACATTAGTGGTTGATCATTAGTATGCTTTTCTAAATGACAGCTTCCTTTCAACGAGTGTGTTGTTTAAATTATATTGCTGTAAGCCCCTGTAGAGGACAGATGACGAGTGTCTGTTTACCTGTTGGTAGACACTTAACAACAGTGTCTTTTTATCACAATAATGCAGAGATAAAAGAATAATGCCGTTTCACTGGTGTAGTTGAGTTCTAATCCCTCAATTACAGTTGTGTATTTTTCCATCTACACATTTCGTGGCCTATACAAAATCCAATATGGGAGATTTTCACAAGTCAAGTGTGTTGTTCAAGAAATTAGATTAGTTTTTGAACCCGTGACAAATTCCTTAGTTGTACCTGTCAAAAGTGAAGGCTCCCTGTTGGCCCTTATCAAATTCAGCGAATTCATTTTCTCTCCAGGTATAGGAGTCATGCCGGTGGAGGTTATTATTCTGTTTGTTTGTCAGCTTGTGATTTTCTGCTACCAGTGAGGAGTGGCTGTTTTGCATCCAGTGTCTGTTGTCTGCTGCCACCTGTTCCTTCATTACCTGGCCACATATTACTCTTTCTTTATGTGGAAAGAAACTCCTCATCCGTGAGGGGGGATCACACTCTGAAATCTGCTTTTTCTGATTAGGCCTTGGATCTAGTCAGAATACATCCGCTTTAGATGTAAGGATATGAAATTCTCCTATTCAGGGGTGAGGATAACATTTTTTTCTCCTCTTTTTTTTTTAGAGGGGATATATTGGCTTTTATGTTATGAAAGTCAGAAATGCTCGGCTCAGACATGAGTGGCAGTGCTGACAACACCTACAGAGGCTGTTGTAGTGCTTTAGTCCTGCTGCCAAGACTTTTCAGAGTAGACACTGCAGACTGGGTCTCCTCCTGTGCTGTCGTCTACAGCAGAGCACTCTGCTGGGAGAAGCCAGACCAGGCCAGACTCGCCTCACAGTCTGGCCTAGTCTGGCTCGAGTCACGGTGCAGTGAGTACAGGCAGCCTCGGGCTTTCACAGTCCTGATGCTCACAATGCATTCTTCATGAGGTATTAAATGAACATAAGAATACACAGATACACAAAGCAGAAAATGAACGTGATCTAAATGCCAGGCCCCTGTGCCGTGTGCAGGCTTGAGCAACAACGCTGGAGGAAGATGTTTGCTCAGTGCCAGCCTCATTAAATCCAACAGCCCAGTTCCTTCAACATGGTCCACAAAGTTGAAAAAGAACGGAGAAAGGTCAGGAGGTGGGATGAAATGAAATTAGAAAGGGAGAAACAGTGCCGTTAACGCCACCACGTCGGCGTATTGATTTAACTAATTGAAATGGCACCAAGGGAGAAACACCAGATGGGTCTCCTCTGGCCTGAGGTGGGGTGCTGGCTGGCTCTGATAGGATCCCATCTGAGACACACTGTCCCTGGGGTGCATGCTGATGCCTTCCTTTATTCCCCAGCCTCTTTCTCACGGTTATCTACAGCCAACACATTCTCGTGGTTGTGTTAATAGAATGACACATTTTCACATGGGTTAGTCAAATAGCTTGCAAAAAAAAAAAAAAAACGTGGAACAAGAACTTGTGTGTTTTTTTGCATTTAGTATATGCGTGTTTGTCTTTTGACAAATGACAGTCAGACAGGACAGAAAATGTTGCTGAGGGGAGGATAAGGCTTAGGAAAATGGTGACTGACTTTAGGGTATTGAAAAATCAGCAATCAATGTCAGGTGTAGGCAGGGTAAATGTATGACTAACCAATCTCCAAAGAACGAGACCACCCTGGCAAACTGCCCTCTCAATGGCACTATCACTTCGCTTTTCCTGTTTAAAATTTCATGAAGGCTTTAAAAAAATAGGACACACTTTTTTGTATGAATTACTATGAAATAGCATAAAGTAAGACTGAACTACAGTAAGACAAAGGCTGTGTTTGTTCTGTAGCTGAATACACACTCCTATGGTGTCGTTGCAATATTCAACTTCAAAGGGCACAAGTTTGTTTGTTTCTGTGATTTTCTGTTTGGATAGTTCTGCTTTAGTAAGTTGCCGCCTGTAAGTAGCACTCAAGCTTAAACTTGGACCTGTAGGGCAGTTTAGTCTTGCTTTGTCAATTTCAATTGCTCATACACTGAGGCACAGAAGCTCATGCACAAGAAACAGGTGTGTGCAGCATCAATCACACCGATCAGTCCCCTGCAGTTCACTCACATTACCGATGTCTACAACCAAAGAAAATGTGGAAATCTCAATCAAAGGCTGAATTTGTACTGACCCTGTCAGGATGAGGGATTTGTGAGTGATGGATCCAAGTTGTGATTATGGAGTCCTTTTCTCCCCGTGTCTTTGCTTTTATGATCTTACTAATCATATCCTGACTGCCCCCTGGCTGCCTGTGTCCTTCTGTCCTGGTGGTGCTCCGTGCTCTTTCCCAGCATGCACTGCCTGTAATTAAATAGGAGCCTGGTCCTCTTGACGGTGTCTGTGGCTGCTTTCTCTGCCTGGCAGCCTCCTCATCCTCTCTCTCTCTCTCTCTCTCTCTCTGTATCTTTTCTCTGTCTCTCACTCACACACTGACTCTCTCCCTCCCTCTCTCCTTTCCTGGATGTCACATGAGGAACTGACTCTGGTCTCTGTCTCTCAAATGATTTAATTGGATGCAAACTCAGGAGCACGGACATCAATATGGAACTATATCTGCCATAAGGCAGAGCCATTAGTCAATACTTCGCCCTCCACATGCCGAAGGCTTTTGTCAGACCTAATTACCCAGTGCTGTATTCAGTGGAGCTTCACCAGTGGGGGACTGGGACTCCTGTGGGATCTGGTTAGGATCACAGTTCACTCTCAGTGTATACAGTGGAGTTGGAGAGTTCACAAAAGCAAATATCACTCACTATTCTCTTCCATTTAACAATGACAGCTAAGAGACTGCAGTCATGTGCATATTCAGTTCCACTCTCTTACATGGCTGAGAAATACTAGGCCTGGAAGACTGAATTGTTATCTGCACTGGACATCAGATGACAGAAATGAATAACATGCAAAGCGGTGATGCAAAGGATCCACACTCATGTTTTTAATAAAAGACTGTTGAAGCACTGATACAGATCAGCTCCACATCCTTTTTATTTTGTAGCCAACATTTTGTTGCAGGTCATTTCCCGAGGGAAACACACGTTGTGAGACAGCTATTTTTAACCACACAATAAAAAAATGCAAATGTGTTGCATGCATCCAGCAACCTTGTTTCTAAATGACCTGCATTTAGGTTATGGTTGGATTGATAATGTTCAATATGTCCATATATTTTCACACTCCCAGTTAAAGCATGTCATGTTAACATGAGCAATAGACTTGTCAAGCATACATAACAATGTCAGTCAGTGACATTAGTAATGATGCTTTCCATTAGCTTTAGGAAATTCATAAGAGCTGTGCTATTGTCTTGCTGTGCTTTTTTTTTTTTTTTACACTTTGTGAAATACTATTTATTCACTCTGAGGACGTCCACAGACAGTTTTGCTAATAAACACCAGCTCATTAGCTGGTTGGCTGAAGTGGCAGGTGCAATCTCCAAAACTACTGATTGAAAGTAACCATGGTGGTTGCAAGTGTTAGTATTATTAGTTGTCCCACTTTGTTGAAACTCTGACAGCACAAAAGACGTTTTATACTTATTATATTTAGATTTCTTTCTTTTTCTTGTTTGTTTTTTATGTTTATTTGCTTCAGTTAATCTCCTCGCAGCCACTGAAAAAGCATGATTATACGCTGCAAAGTTTCCATTAAAGAGTTTTTTTTCATGAAGATACACATCAAAAGTGAAAAACTGAACCTATCTGGAAAAACCAAAGTTAGTTGCATATTCACTAACCTTTTCAATATACGTGTCCCTCCAGGGTGCCTCGTCCAGTCTGGTGGTCAAGTTTGCAGACACCGATAAGGAGAGGACCCTGCGTAGGATGCACCAGATGGCGGGCCAGCTCGGCATCTTCAGTCCCATGACCATCCAGTTTGGGGCCTATGGCGCCTACTCTCATGCTGTAAGTCTCAGCCCGGCGGGGGAGGAGACGGTGAGCTTTAAAAAAGAAAACAAAAACTGTTGTGATTTAAAGTTTGAACTCACAATCTCTCCCACTAGGCATGTGACACTCCGAGAGAACATCTACTTCAGTGATTCGCACTATTAAATGGCTGTTAGTGTCCAAATTTACATAGGCTTTACAGGAAATGCTGCACTGCTTTTTGAATTGTCTTTTTTATCCCCTCACTTGTCCAGGGAAGCTGCTTATCATGTATGCTCAGCACTATACTGTTTTACTTTCATACAGTTACAAGCATCCACTTCATATTCACTTTCCATTCCCACATTTCCTGACTTGATCTGTGAATTTAAACTGCCAACCCAAGCTCGCCTCCTTAACATTTGATTTACTTACACATATTCCTCTAGACTCAAACAGAGGTGCACGTCATTCCCACGAACCCACACCCCCTACCCCTCTCCCTCCCAGCCCACCCCACCCGCACTTCTTATTCACACATGAAAGTCACAGCCTGAGTTAGGAGTGTGTGAGATTTTGCACTCATACAGTAGCTAACAACTCACCCTGACAGGTGAGACTCGCCCACTCACGCACAATCTCTCCACTAACTCTGCCACCGCAGCACCATTTTTTCTCTCACACATATACATATACATTTCATATAGATATGCATAGTCTCCAGCTTGCCAAACTCATCTCAGCACATAGGCTTTATCTTGTGTCAGTATAATGAGCACAAAAGCCAGAGCAGTGTTAGAGGAGCTGGGAAGCAACGCTGCAGGGCAACACAGACCACTCTGTTCAAGAACAAGGCATGGGCCAAGCAAACAGAGATGTGAGAGTAAACATGCTCTGGTCCTGCGGCTATTTCACCCTCCTTTCCTTTTCTGTCCTTCCCTCCATCCCTCCCGCCATTCGCCTCTCTTCCCCACTGCTCTTTAATCCTACAGCAGATGATGCAACAGCAAGCAGCCCTGATGGCAGCGACACAAGGGTCCTACCTGAACCCCATGGCAGCCATCGCTGCCGCGCAAATGCAGCAAATGGCAGCTTTCAATGTCAACGGCCTGGTGGCTACTCCCATGACACCGTCCTCAGGTATACACTAATAGGCGCACACACACACACACACACACGCACACGCACGCACGCACACACGAACTGGCACGGCTGCAAGAGCAGAGGCACGTGCAAACACACACACACACACACACACACACACACACACACACACACACACACACACACACACACACACACACACACACACAGGACTTCCATTTCTCACTGCTGCCCTGGAACATTTTCATCATTAGCAAGAATTATAGAAGCAGTAGTAATATATTCATTCAAGGCCTTTCTACTTTTGCCCTTGTTCCATTTTTTTAGATGTAGGCTCCATATTCTGGGCTGAAGCAGACATTTCCAGTGTTGAATTAAAGGAAGTGGAGCTTTGTATTGAGCGAAGCATGATGGGAGAAGATGTACAGCATTCCTTGACACTCATTGGCAGCCACATTATAGTCTCTCTCTCTTTTCCTCTCTCTCATTATCTCTCTCGCTCTCTCCCTGTCTGTCGCTCTCTTCCTCTGTGTCTCTGTGACAGTGTGTGTTTTCTGGGAACACAGCCAATCCGATGACTTTGGATGCAGAGTCCTTGGCTTATACAATATAAGAGCAAAGATTTGTGTGAGATAATCCTGGACCCCAGTCTGAACTATCTTTTTGGCCCTTGTCATGAGGAGCTTTGATGGCTCGACACTAAGTAGGCAGGCCGCCTGAAGGCGGGGTCATTGCAAATGTATTAAATAAAGTGGTTTGACGCTGTACCTGGCATTTGTAATCCACAAGGCCTACATATACCAGGTAATGCCTATCAAACATAATCCTACAAGACCTAAATGCCCTTCACCTGGATTAGAAAAATAATAAAAATCCATCAGCACAAAGGGGCACTGACAAGGTGACAGACTTGGAATATCACCTCAAGGAGAAAAGGTGGTTAGAAGGAGAGGCACAGGCTTCTGCGTTCATCACACTGTAACTTTACTTGTACGCCAATTTTGTATCCATACTTTTCGTACCTTTAAAGGTGCAGTTATGTACCCTAAGAGGTAAAAATCTACCTTTAAACATGGGTATAATAATGAAGAATAATCCAAAAATCTGAGAGCAACCTTTCCCCCCCACCACCCTTACACATCAATCATTGTGCCACCTTGACTGATTTTAGCAACTGTACCTTTAGTTCCGACTGAATTGGTACCGATTTATACCAAACAACATCATTGCACCTTTATAGTGGGTCAAAAGGCACATATTTGTGCTCAAGAGGACCCATTATGTCCCTGTTATACAGCTGTACATTTGGGAGGAAATGTTCAGTACAAAAATATACCTCTCTTGTACCCCTATTTTTGAGAGTGCATCATGTGAACCGTGCACCCTGCAGTTTCCGTAATGACTCTGTATCTATTTGCAGGCACCAGCACACCCCCAGGCATCTCTGCCACAGCCGTGCCCAGCATAGCCACCCCAATCGGGGTCAACGGATTCAGTGCCCTCCCGCCTCAAAGCAACGGGCAGCCCACCTCTGAGCCCATCTACACCAATGGTATTCATCCTTACCCAGGTGAGCCAATCAACATTTACATAAAAGGAACATGAGATATATTTGTAACATCTACTGTCATGAGACGGTTGCTCTGACCCTGACACTTCTGACGTTTAGCTGCTTGTACTGATGGTGATCTATGAATGTTTGATTATTCTAGTGTTATACATGATCTGAATAAGAACATAACCTAGCTGCCACAATGCAAGTTCAACACGTCAGTAGTGACAAATTGAATTATGTCACATAGTACTGTTTAAAAGTTGACAAGAGTCCTTTTTACTTCACACTCTCCTGACATCTTTTTCTGATTTGAACTGAAGCGTTTAAAGCTTGAGGGTCAATCAGCAGCGTCTTTGGCAGATTTCTCAGCAGCTCAGCTCCAGTATCATGATGGATCCATCAGTTCATCCATCAGTCCATTATGGCTAATTTGATGTGTCTCAACCCGTCCTCAGCTTCTTAATGTTGTCTGGGACTGATTCCTGAAGAACTGACAGACTCACACTTCCCATTCTGCATTATGCAAAGGCAGCTGCGATTGTAATGAACTACAAAGTGGTTTGTTTGGCATGTTGTTAATATTTGATGCAAACATCTGGGGCAAACAAGCATTTTGAAGCACTGAGAGATATGACAAGCCACATTTCTCCCACTCCCTGTGTGATCTCACCCCCTGATGGTTCTCCACAGATAAGCCAATTTCTGCCTCGCTCTTTAACACTGTCTCTATATCTCTCTTTGTCTCTGTATGTGTCTTGACCACTCTCTGTCCCGTCTTTGTCTGTTTTTGCTTTCATTTTCCTCTTTGTCACCCCCCTTTCTCGGACTCTCTTTTCGTCTCTCTGCAGCACAGAGTCCAACGGTGACCGACCCTCTCCAACAGGCTTATGCCGGTGTCCAGCACTACGCAGGTGATCCGTCTCTCTTACCGCCTCTACTCTCTCACTTCCTCCATCTGTCCCTTTCCCTCTACCCTCTCCCTTTGTGTTTGTCACATTAGTAGACACTATGACAGGTATAGAGATAGCCGAACGACCAGCCAATTTTCTCCCGGATTAGGCTACTTTACATTAGGATTGCAAAAGGATTTTCACTTGACTTGATTATACACCCACACACACACACACACACACACACTCACAAAAAACTTAATTCCAAAAGTATAACACAAGCTGAGGATCTCAACCTGCCATAGGCTCCTACATGAGAGATGACATAGACCTCTCAGACCACTGCATTCTGCCTGACATCAGCTCCTATTAACATGGTGTAAGTCTCCCTCTCTTTCTTTGTGTGTCTGCTCAGTTGAACTGTACTCCACTCCCCTCTTGCCATGCTCTTTGTGCAGTGATCCACCAGCCAAATGAGCCCAGGCTCCCAGTCATAATGCAATTTATTTATGCAGTGTCTAGAGGACGCAAATGAACAATGGAATAATGATTTGAGTTTTGTTGTGTCAAATATGAAAATGGAGATGTGAAAAATTCCACTCTGGTTCTCCCTTTGCAACAGCAGCCTACCCTGCCGCCTATGCGCCAATCAGCCAAGCGTTCCCCCAGCAACCAACCATCATTCCCCAGCAACAGAGGGAAGGTAAGAGCGAGCAAGCGCGCCCACCCAAGATAAAAGGTGATAATTGCCATGTTCCATTCTAATGTAGCTGCGCTGCTTTGAATTAGCGAGGGAGGGAAAAAGCTGGCTGGGGAAAATGTGAGAAAAAGGCTTCCCATTTAAAGAGAAGAACATTAGCAGTGAGATGGAAAGTTACTCTGTCATTATTCAAAAACTGCACTAATTCAAACTCGCAGCGTTGGACTGCTTAATCAGTCCATTACAATGTGTTTAAGTGGTTATAAATATTCATCAGATTAATTAGCTGCATGCATAATCATTTATTACCATTCCTAGTGTAGTGTTCGTTCTTATGCCACAGCATCAGATGTAATAAAGCATAGGATATACTGTGATGGTAAATCACTCTTTTTGACACCATTTTTCAGTCTCAATTATTCATCTATATGATTGTATGAGACAGCATAGAGTGGCATGAATATTCAGTATAGGAACTCTTAAGTCGAGAAAAAGTTAGTTTATGTTTGCATTTTTTGATAGTGAGAGTGCAAGCCAGGGTCACAGTGCAGAAGCCTATGAATGAAGTGTAGATACACATAAACTTATCCTCACATGCCAGCTGCTTATTCACTTCACAAAAAAAAAAAAAAAAAAAAAATCATGAAGTTGTTGAGTTTATCCTATCTCTCACTGCTACGACGGAACATTTTAATCATTGGCAAGAATCATAGAAGTCATGGTAATGCAAACACACACAGACAAAGCCACATACACACACACACACACACACACACACACACACACACACACACACACACACATAGAGCTATTCTTGGTTGAGCCAGTGGCCTGTCTGAGTTCTGGCCTCCTCTGGGTTTTGGCTGCTCTCCCAGTCTGTCTCAGTCCATTGCCACAGTCTGCAGCTCTGCCATTTAACAAGAGACACCTAAACCTGAATACACAGGCACAGTCAAGCCTCAGCTTCAACCTCCTCTGAAAGCTAACAATTTCAACAATGCATTCTATCAGTCCGTGTCTGTGAGTATATCAACAAAGGAAATCCTCCCAAATCCAAAAATATAATTTTAACCAGACGAATCTTTGCTGTACTCTTTGAAAATATGTGTCCTTTTCACTTCAGTGAAGCATCTCAGGCAGCACAGTGACATGTCAATACTATACAACACACTACACCCACACAGCAACTAGCAATACTGTATATGTCATACCCAAAGCAATGCAGTGCTGTCAGATGCTTGTGGATAAACTAATTATGACTCAACTTTCAATCAGTTCAGTAAATTAATTGGTTGTGAAAAAAAAAAAAAAAAAAAAAACTATGGTATGAAAAATTTTCCTGCATGGAAAATTTAAAGGCAGTTACCTTGCTTAAGTTCAGTGTCAACTTTAACAAATCTGTCCATGTTGAAAATACTATGGCTGTGTCCGAAATCAGTCCGTATTTACTATACACTGCACTATATTTACCCTCCACTGTTTTATATGAGTGTCTGAATTCTGAGTGTGTAAATGTGTCCACTATATAGTGCCCTAAAAAAATCCACAATGGAACAAAAATAAATTTGTGGCCGTGGCATGTGCAGTACTTTCTGCCAACAATTCCACAATACTATGCATTTTATATATGTGAAACCTGCAGTTGTGTGACTCAACAGCAGTGATGATTTAAAAATAGGATGATTAGTAAGTGTCTCAAATCTCAATTTACTAAATTATTCTGTGTCTATTATATAGTGATGGAGTGAATGAGGTAGTGATTTCGGACACAGCCTAAGACCCGTTTCAGGAGCACTGGGTTAAAGGCATCACCACCAACCTAAGCAGAATAATTCTTAGGTGAAAAGACAATGTAGCAGCATCAGTGTGTTAGTGGTTGTTTGAGATGATGGCAAATTTTGAAAAGAACGTTTAGCTGTATTCGTATGCCTTGTCGTCTTCTTTGTTCATTCAAATTTCAAAGCTTTCTTTTTGTCTTGCTGTTGAGTGAAACTGTCACACCAGTCAATATGTTATATGACTTGCATTATGAATGTTTTAAAAGAGTACTCCACCAATTTAGCATTGCACTCAGATTCATGGTTTTCAAAAGTAAAAAAAAAAAAAAAAAAAAAAAAAAAAAACTCTATAAGAATTGATGCAGCTGAACTCCCCTCTTTATATCATGCATTCTTCTTCTTTTTCAAACTCTGGCACCTACATTACCCAAAATGCAACTCAAACTGCTGTCAGTTCATTTGGAAATCCAGGTGCGTTATACTAGTCACAGCTAGTAGCCCAAACTAGTTAGCCTCAAACAGAAATGGGGGGTGGGATACATGGGTCTGGTAAGCTCACGTGTTTCTTACTCCACACCCTCAGATTTTTTTTTCCACTTTATTCTCTAGTCTTCAGCCCCTGCTGATGTTACGTCAAGTGACATCACTTGAGGCAATTTATCAGACTTTGCGCAGCTCCCTCTGGAGACCCGAAAAGGCTTTGTATAACACTTTCACATGTGAAGTCGTACTGCCCAAGGCCTGTAAACAGACTTTGATGTGTAAAATCGCTTCTGCTTTAAAAAATAAATAATAATAAATTCTGCATATATGAATCATACCAAATTATTCCTCATCCTAAACTGTGAGAACAAGTCATACATCCCTGTGTCTGAACAAATAAAACCAAGCCAGATTAACTTGTCAACATGCACTTCTTTTCCACAATGGACAGGTTTTTAGATATAGAATTTGTTCTGTAAAAATGTCTCTAAAAATCATAGATAGATATACATTTATATTTGTGTATGTGACAGTATTCTTTGTTGGACTAGAGACTGTAGGATTTTATTCTCACACATTTAGCCAGTCACAAAACTACCTTAACTCACACACAGTTGAATACACAGACTGGCATATATATGAGAGTCTTGTATGAAGCGGTCAGAGGATTACCATTATTTTTGTATTATTCTTTATTTTTGGAACCTATGCACTGTTCTCATATACCAGTCACAGACATTTCTTTCCCTCAAACAAACCACTTCGTTTCAAAGCATGAATCCTCCATCAGAGACCTAAACCTAAACAGACAGAACTGAGTTTCAGCCTTGGAAAAAAAAAAAAAAAAAACCCACTCTGTCAACCTGTGTGTGCATGTTCGTGTGTGTCCTCTATCTCGCTGAGGCATAGCAGCACTACAGCCAGCCACCACTGCAGCTCTCTTATCAGCCTTCTCACCAGCCCTGGTCTCATCTCGTCATGCTATCACCCTGAGCAATGAGACAGGAGAGAATGCTAGCCAGGCAGCCAGCTGCAAGCATACTGTCCCTGAGTCCATCACATCTCTCCCCCCCCCTCTCTCTCTCTCTCTCTCTCTCTCTCTCCGTCCCTGGTCCCATCTCTCTCTCTCTCTCTCTCTCTGTCTCTCTCCAGTTCATTCCTGCCTTTATCCAGATTGGCCTGTACAATATGTGGCAGCTGGGTGGATGAGTGTGGAGGGATGGAGAGAGATTGGAAGACAGTCCTACTGTCACACAGTAATTGGGGCAAAAACTTGGCTTATGTCTTAATGCGTGCTCTGCCCCCTCCTCCTCTCACTCTCTCTCTCTCTCTCCCTCTCTCTCTCTTTCTCTGTCTCACTGTTTCTCTTTCTCGATATAACCGTCTCAATCTTTCTCTTTCAATCAGCCTCTCTGTGTTTTTTCTCCCTCCTGTTGTCTCCGTTTTTATCTCTGGCTGTTTCTCTCTTTTACTTCTCCTATCTCTGCCTCTCTGTGGCTGTTTACATGTGCACACACAGCAACTGCCAGCACATTTTCTCAGACAATAGTCAAATTTAACTGTATAATAAGATTTAGTAAAGTGCCACCTATCTATCCAGTTATTACATGAAATGAGGTTCTCAGGAGGATTCCAATGGCAACCACAAAAAGAGCTGACCAAACAGCCTGTGTGAACTCCTGAAAATGGGATTACAGTGTGTGTACCAGAAAAACTAGGTTTAACACGACTAATATTTGTGCCACGGGGAACATAATCAGGATTTGCTGTTTACATGGCTCATATATTCCTTGGATTATTGTCTTAATTGCTTTATTGAGTCATTTTTTCCACCCGTGTTATTGTGGTCAGTCTCTGTCGCACTGGGCACCTCCTGTTTACGCTCCCGTCTAACCCTCCTGTTGTCTTTCTCTCATCACCAGGGCCAGAAGGTTGCAACCTGTTTATTTATCACCTGCCCCAGGAGTTCGGAGATGCGGAGCTCATGCAAATGTTCCTGCCTTTTGGCAACGTCATCTCCGCCAAAGTCTTTGTGGACCGAGCGACCAATCAGAGCAAATGTTTCGGTGAGTCAAGCATCGATGTTGAAGTGAAGAAAGAAAAAAATAAATAAATATTAACATGAACAAAGTCACGCGGTGGCTGTGCTTGGCAGTCTTCTCATGCCTCTTGTTGCTTTCCGGCAATTTGTGTTTGCTTTTGCTTTTATTCCCAGTGTCTATCCTAATCAAGCTGCAATTAACATTTTAAAGGTGGCGTTACATGCCACTGAGCAGAGGGGGCGGGGGGGCGAGGAGGGACACGGGAGCAATGCGCACATGCTCCCTGGCTTCATCACACAGGCATATCTAACAAGATAGTGGGGCTTGCTAACAGAAGGGGGGGCGAGGGGGGGGTTGAGAGGGTGGACCCTCTGAATGAATGAATCGCCTCATCTAGCTACTGACCCCAAAATCCTTCACACATTTGCCACTTGCTCCACCATTGATTCATCACCTCTCTATCACACCATTCCTAATACAATCAGTATCCATCTCGCTTCTCTGCCATTCCCAGCCTCCTTTACTCAATAGAAAAACATTTTCCCCAAGTACCCACCCCCCAACCCCCACCCGCCCACCCCAATCCTCCAGCCGGGCAACCCAGCAGCATCCCGCCACCCCTCCCCTACTTTTCTCTCGCCTCCCACACAGCAAACCAGTTCATCAAGGGTGGAGGCGGTGCAGGTGGAATCCATGGGCTTAAAGAGATAATAATAGACTGGTGTGGGCCTTGCTGTTGATTCAGTTGGACAGCAACACCCAGGAGACAGGCACAGAGAGAGAGACTCCCAGCATTGGCTTTCTTTCAGTTTCTCTTCAACATGGCATGTCTATGAGGCTTTCTCTTCCTCTCTTCCCTCGTCTGTCTCTCTCTCTCTCTCTCTCTCTCTCTGTCCCTCTCAGGACAGTCTCTCTCTTCCTCTCCCTGTGTGTGCTCTCCTCTAAACATATGCCTCTCGTTATCACTATCCGTCAGTCAACAAGGGGGAAGGACAAAGGGGCGGTGACCTCATCAGTCTCACCGGCTTATTTTCCACGGCTAGTAATTAAGATCTTGGCTGAAAAACAGCAATTTAACCCATGATTCTTTTGTGGATTTTTTTTTTTTTCCAATCATTTCTCCCTCCTTTTTATAGCAGAGGCCCCAGGGCTCTTTTGTAAGACATTAACAAATTAGGCAGAAGATGCTGTGCATTAAGGGGGATAAGTTATTAGGCCTCCAAGAACTTGGAACACTTCATCTTAAAAATGTGTGAGTTAAGCCTTGACGGTGTGGTTAATGGGTGTTGTAGACACACAGACTTTTACAGATATACTGTGTGTATATCTACATACAGTATACAGGAGTAGAAAATGGATAGATGGACCGACTGATGAACTGTCCATTGTAAAAATGTACAAAATGCGGTGCTCATTCTGGTGTGAAGGAAACATGCTTAGCTCTCACACTGGAGTGTGTATTCAAACTGGGCAACATGGACAAAATAGTTATGACAAGTTAATTATCTGTAACATATAAGCAGCCCAGTAGGTATGACGGTATTTAGTTAACCAANGGGGGGGGGGGGGGGGGGTTGAGAGGGTGGACGCTCTGAATGAATGAATCGCTCATCTAGCTACTGACCCAAAGATCCTTCACACATTTGCCACTTGCTCCACACATTGATTCATCACCCTCTCTATCACACCATTCCTAATACAATCAGTATCCATCTCCGCTTCTCTGCCATTCCCAGCCTCCTTTACTCAATAGAAAAGCATTTTCCCAGTACCCCACCCCCCAACCCCACACACATACATATATAGCACAGACATAAAACGCTGGTCAAGCATGTGCCTGGGTAGCACGAAAGTGGATGTTGTCATTGTTTTAGTCTTCCAGAGAGCAGCACTGGAGCCTGGAGCCGGTTCTGCAGTATTGCTTGCCCCTCAGCGCCAGTATCCTCTCTCATCCTCTGCATTCCCTCCATCTGCACTCACTCGCCACTTCTCTCCCCTCCCCTGGCCCCACTAACGTCAGACTTCTGTTCTTACGTAACACATGTACCCTTTTATTNTCTCTCTCTCTCTCTCTCTCTCTCTCTCTCTGTCCCTCTCAGGACAGTCTCTCTCTTCCTCTCCCTGTGTGTGCTCTCCTCTAAACATATGCCTCTCGTTATCACTATCCGTCAGTCAACAAGGGGGAAGGACAAAGGGGCGGTGACCTCATCAGTCTCACCGGCTTATTTTCCACGGCTAGTAATTAAGATCTTGGCTGAAAAACAGCAATTTAACCCATGATTCTTTTGTGGATTTTTTTTTTTTTCCAATCATTTCTCCCTCCTTTTTATAGCAGAGGCCCCAGGGCTCTTTTGTAAGACATTAACAAATTAGGCAGAAGATGCTGTGCATTAAGGGGGATAAGTTATTAGGCCTCCAAGAACTTGGAACACTTCATCTTAAAAATGTGTGAGTTAAGCCTTGACGGTGTGGTTAATGGGTGTTGTAGACACACAGACTTTTACAGATATACTGTGTGTATATCTACATACAGTATACAGGAGTAGAAAATGGATAGATGGACCGACTGATGAACTGTCCATTGTAAAAATGTACAAAATGCGGTGCTCATTCTGGTGTGAAGGAAACATGCTTAGCTCTCACACTGGAGTGTGTATTCAAACTGGGCAACATGGACAAAATAGTTATGACAAGTTAATTATCTGTAACATATAAGCAGCCCAGTAGGTATGACGGTATTTAGTTAACCAAGATTTTAATTTTCCCAGCATCCTTTGAAAAGCCCCCCCCACCATATTCTAATTTAGATTACCCACTTTTTTCCCTCTAATTAAAAACTAAAAAACATGAACTTAAATCCATCATCTAAATACAGCTAACATTCTCTAATAATGTCAAATTTGTTGGTGTAAAAGTTAACTTATCCACTATATTTTAAGAAGCATCATGTTATAATATCTAAGTATTGTTAAACATTTAGTTAAGATGGATCATTTTAAATAAAATACCTTTAGCAGACTGCCAACTATGGCAGGATGACTGCTCTGAGTCTCAACAGAAACATCTATGCGTCTGTGGCCTGATTTCTCTGCAGCACAGGTGAACTACATTTTGGGATTTTGAGAGGAGATAATCAGACATCACTCTGTGAGATGGAGTGTTTACAGAGAAGCTTGAACATTTCAATATGATGAAAAGGTCAGTGGAGGAGCACTCAAAGCATATTCCTATAAAGGACGTGTTTCTGAAGTAGGATTTGGAGCATACTCTTAAGGGATGTATCAATGTCAACTCAGACAGATGTCTGTTTAGTATATTTATTTGCACTGTGATGGAATGGACATGAATATGTGACACGGTGTTGATATTAAACAGTGCAGGTGAGATGAAGAAAGATCTGAGGGATTTAGAAAATATTTCACCCCAAAGCAATTTAAAAAATGAAGATGACAAGTGATACAGGTCACAGAAACCTCTTTTTTTTAACTATGTGTTCATTTTTAAATTAAAATATTGTGTTATTAGCCTGGGTTGTGCTTTATCAAGTCACTGAAATATATAGAATATTCATTAGGCAAAAATGCACACCCTGTAGACATTCACTGGTTGTGTTTAATTTAACGTGGGTGTCTGTGAGAACAACATTAGTCTTTATCCTCTGCGTTTAGTCACTCAATATTGACTTTTAAAAGTGATCAAAGCTCACCTTGTTAAGTGGAATAAGCTGGATTTAGCTTGAAAATGAATTTCAAAAGGTCTCCTGAGAATAGAAAGACAGACACACACAAAAAATAGGAAACCCTCTGCTTTTTACATACGGTGAAAAAAATATACACCAGGGAATGTAATTCGCCGAAAGGGCTTCTGAAAACAGGATATACTTTTTTTTTTTTTTTAAGTTGTTATGCTTTTTTTTGTTCTTTCCACCCTTTAAGTCGGGGAAGGTTGCCTCTACGGGTTCGGCAGCACTCATCTATACATTAATACATTTCTAATGATTCACCATGCTCAGATTTACACTTTGAAACTTTAACAGCGATGAAGCACAAGCAAATCTCCCATGAACATTTGGCAATATAAAATAATGATCAAAATAAATAAAATAAAAAGATATTAAAACTGTAAGGTTTGCAGCACAGGAGCTCAGGAGCTATGTCTGACTTCTAAGAGGAAGCTTTAACAGGTCAGCTGCAGGTTGACTAACTTGTTCAAATGGAGTTGAGTGGTAGTGTAGTAGTATAATATATAGTAAAGTTATAGCAAAGCAAGGGAGATTGCTTTTTCCAGCCTCACCTCTACACTACAGCCACCCCTGCATTAGTACAGAAAAGGGTTTTCATAGTACCAACTGCATAAGAGCACAATCATGATATAGTAACTCTTTTCTTTTTTTTCTTTTTTTTTAGTAGGGCAATGTGAGACTTATGTGCTGCAGCTTTCTCAGCTACTCAGCCTGGTCCTCCACTGTCAACCAATAATTTTTGCAACTTTGTGTGTGTTTTTACTATTAAAAATGCATAACATTACAATGTGTACAGACATTCTGCTGATATGGATGGTGGCGGTGAGGGCCATACCTCAAAACACCAGTAGCGTTTGTAGTATTGAGTTGCACAGCTCCACACAGTCAGTGCGGCATCAAAGATATGAAACATCAGCCAGTTACTTTGTCTGGAGAAAACAGCTGAAGCTGGAAACGTGCTCAAATATCTTATTCCGCTTTTATCTTTATACACATGGATTCAAGCGCTTAAAGTTTGCAGTGCATTCTTTGTCCTCTCCTCTTCCTCTGTACTCTGACCCCCAGCATCCTATCACCTTCTTGGCATGTGGATGTAAATGTGAGGTATGGAGATTCATTAAAGCCAGGGGTAGTGTGAGTGTGAGTGTGTGTGTGTGTGTGTGTGTGTCTGCGTGTGTTTGTAGGATTGGGAGGGGGATCACTGCCAACTGACAGGTCCTTCCCTGCTCAGTTTGTTTAAAGGGTTTGTAAAAGCAGCAGCCTTATCTCACCCGCACTGACAAAAGCCTGCCCTCTCCCCCCAAATTAAATTGGACCCATAGCAGTGTGATCAAATCAGCTGGCAGGCGGAAAATTTGGGCCGTCAATCACAGAGGTGTCTGATAAGAGAAGGCAAGGAGTCCCGGTGTGGAAAGCTGTGGGCTCATTCCGCCTCGACACCCAGGTGATAACTCAGAGCAGCAGGCACCTCCGTCCTACACACCTTGCTCCTAGCATCTCGTCACGACCCCCATGCCCTTTACTCTTTACTTAGATACACGCTCAGTCACACACGTACATGAAAATACACTTTCACACACGCACACACACACACATGCACGCACGCACGCAGCCCTGCCACTCTTTCATGGCTCAAACAGTCAGGTAACATTTACAGACACTGCTTTGCTCTAAAAATCTACACACAACATGACACTCCTTTCTTTTTTTTCTTTTTTCTTTTTTTCCTCTCTAATCTTTGAACACCTTCATGTTTTTTTGTTCTCTGTTCAAGTTAAACTCCCGGTTTCTAATAGCTCTTCTTCGTTTGATTTTTAATATCTGTGTTATTAGCCTTTGTGGTATTTTATGTAATCTTTTTAATTCAGAGATTTTCAATTAATCTGCTGAAAAGACAAAACAAAGAGCTATTGTTGTGTCATTGTTGAGAGTTAAAAAGGGTCTTTTTCTCCCCTCTTTTTTCTTTCACCTCGCCTGTCTTTTTCTCCCCGTCTCTTTCCTTCTCCCTTTCTCCTCTTCCTGTTTCTTTTTCATCTCTCCCCCATTCTTCTCCCTTTATGTGTTGTTCCTTTTTTTTTTCTTCTTCTTCTCCATTTTCCCATTTTTCTCTGCCCCCATCTCGCTCTCCCATTCTGTGTTCTTGTCTCAGGCTTTGTGAGTTTTGATAACCCGTCCAGCGCTCAAGCCGCTATCCAGGCCATGAACGGGTTTCAGATAGGCATGAAGAGGCTGAAGGTGCAGCTAAAGCGGCCAAAGGATGCCAACCGACCTTACTGACTCGTCTGCTGTCCATACCCAGGTATAGTGGCACCCACGCCATAAAACACCATATCTTACATATGTCATTCCATGCCTGTTAAAAATCAAACTGTCCACTTTGCTACTTCATAACTTAGTTACTGGTTTTATTGCTACAGTATGTGAATTGCCTCAAATCTCAATTTAACCTTTATGCACAAATGAGGAATATTCTTTCAATTTCAAACATGGGTAAGATGTCTTCAGCTTTAATTACCTTTTAGTCTTTTATTAGAGTAATGGCAATTTCACAAAATAAAGTGTGTATTAAATCCTTAATAACTTAATACAATTTGAATTTCTCAGGCATTTCATTCATTTGTGAGGGTATTTTTCTTCCATGAATGTTTTGAAGACAAATAGCAACTTCTTCGAGTTCAATTTCCAGGGAGGTGATCAGTGTGGTTACGAAAAAGAGGGAAATTCACTGCATCAACTTCCAAGTCGTGCCCAAACACCTTCAATGAACAGAACCCATCATCCACCATTTATTCTCTACTCTCTGTAGAAATTTAGTTATAAATATGACAGACTAATAAAATTACAAAATGCACAAATTACCTTGACCTGGTCCACTACAGGAAAAGTGAAAATTCCAGTTCTGTAATCACTCTGACTCTGTGTCCCCACAAGTTTTTTTTTTTAGTTTTTTTAAGTCAACTTTTTTTTTAATTATTTATCTATTTTATATATCTCCTGTGAAAGTGTCAGGCCACTTGCTTTCGGATTGCATTGCCCCTCTTGACAAACTCAGCCTCTTGAGATTTGTGTCAGGTTGTCCCTGCTCAACTGAATTGTTTTTATTTCTTCTGGGGTTTGAAAGCTAATTTGTACGTGCATGATACTCCAGTGCAAACTGATGACATCATCAATACCCAGCTGTGCATAATTACCCGTCTACTGAGGACGGCGTTGAGAATCGATACAAGTTGTTAAGCTACAATTTTATAAAACCAGATTGCAACAGTTTCTTCCCTATAATAGCTCAGCATTACATTTCTGTCAGCCGCTTAGCAAAATCCAAAGGGCCCCTTTCAGTAGAGCTTTTACTTATGGGAAAATTCATGGAGGAGATGCACAATAATACAGAGTAGATTTATAGTATAACAACTTTTTTACAAGAATACTGATGAACATGTCGAGTAAATGCAGGATGTTTGAAAGAAAATTCTGCGCTCAAAAAAATAAATAAACAAAAAGGATGCTTAATGGAAAAGCACTTACTCACCCCATAAACTGCAAAACTGCAGTGGCTTGTACAGTGATGGAAAACAGCACCAACTCCAGTAAGCACCATTTGGTTAGTTCAAGTGATGCTTCACCAGTCTGTTCTCAAATAAAACAATCATAGACCACTTTCATGTCCTGTCATTCTTTGTTTGCACCCCCCCCCAACAAAAAAAAAAACAAAAAACAAAAACAAACAAAAAAAACAGCAAAGAAATATGTTGGTTTTGTTATTTTTGTTATTTTAACTTTGTTATTCTGATTTGGACTTTTTTTCACATGAGGACATTTATTTGACATTTGTTCTTGTGTTATCCATTAATACACATTCTCATATCTCATTTTAATTACCTATAACCTTTAAGAATTTCCTCGTGCAAATAAATGAAATTAATTAATATAATGTACACTGGAAATTTTTTAAATATTATTAAATAATATTTTAACACCTTATGCTGTAAAATTGCCAATATAAAATTATCATTGGAAAATTTGCTGTGTGGCTCTGGGGCAAGCATTCGAAGGATATATAAATGTTAATTAAAAACTATGCCAGTGTTTACACATCCACAGCAACAGAGTTAATTTAACACTGAACAATTTACGATAAAATTTGTCAAAATATAAACCTACTGAAATCAAGCTTATCTTGAGTGGGTAAATGTGGATAAATATCTTCTTTTAACTTTCTAATGAGGCTGGTTTTAATGAAGTATGCACTCACCAAGTAGAGACAACAAGAGATCTTGCAGATGTATGGTTACCTACATGTGCTGAAAGTATATCTGCAGCCAGATCTCTTCTGTATTCAGCTGTTCCTTCTTTAGGCACTTAAAAAGTCAGAGCTTTCATGCAAAATAATAAAAAGATAGTTTACTTAAAGTAGCACCATCCCTCAATAAAGACTCATTTCACCGTGTCAGGCTTGATTCAAAGAATCATCGCCCATCTGTCACAAAGTGCAGCTGCCGGTGCGAAAATAATACAGATGCATGCTCTCTTCACCCAATTGGCTAGACAACTTTTCATTACAATGACATAAGCCTGGATTATATTCCTCCATAAATAACAGCATGGTCCTACCATTTGTTTGTTTTAGACTTGACTCTTTAAAAGCCACAAGATGGCATTAATGGAAGGTGGTATGCCATATAAATGATAGATGCTCCCTTTATCCCTTGCCTGATAGCATTTGAATAGAGCTCTGTCCTGCTAATTGAAGAGAAGCTTTCAAAGCAGACACCCTGAGAAGAGAAGCGGGGGGTTGTGATTTTGATTCAGCACATCAATAAGGGACAAATGGAGAATATCCTGCAACAGCACTGAATGACAGCACAGTCATTGAGATGTACTCAGAATGTCTCCAAGCACAGACATTTCTCACAATAACATTCTGCCACTTTATCAGAAGGTGTGTGTGTGTGCATGCGTGTATGTACGTGTGTGTGCGTGTCGTTGCATGTGTGTGCGCGCGTGTGTGTTTTTTTTCATGTCCTCCTTCGTCTCTGGTCTGATTCAATCCATCTCTGTGTTTTTCCTCTGTTATTACACCATTTCTGTTGTTGAGTTAAGGAAAACCAATAGACCAAAACAAAGAGCAATCCCATGAAAACACTGACGGAAAAATCTGCTACCGGGGATTCTGAAGCCAGCTCTGTATCACAGCTCTAGGTTCCCAGATTCTTAAAAACCATGAGGGATCTTATATAAAGGTGTGTTTTAAAGATTTAACCAATCTACTTTTAAGATTTTTTTTTTCTTTTTTCATGTATTGCCTTGTATTGTGGCAGACAGTACACTGAGCTCTTGAGCAACAGACTAGAATAAGTAAAGTTAAGCAGCAAGTGTTTAATTTTCTAAATTCAACTACATTCTAACGATGAAAAACTTTGATGAAACTTGAATGACAAATTTTTGTGTGTGTTCCTTAGGTAAAAACTTCAATATGTAGATAACTTCAGAGGCCCCCTTTTTTTCTCTTTAATACTGACAATTTCACTTTGAAGTTGAATTAAAAACACGATCAGACAGCATTCTCTTCTGCTGGTCTCAGGAGCCCTGCTACTCTGAAATTGCGTTCGGTGTCTTAAAGATAAACTTAATGCAAAAAAGCTGAAGCACTCACTGTACGGCCACCCTCATAGCAAACAATGCAAGGCAAATCCAATTACTGTAGACAGGACAAGTTTCTGAAATATGCATTTCTGCCTTAAGGGTTATCTTTGTGAATATAAAAACATCAATTCAACCTTTTAACCTGCAAATGTTGTCAGCCTGAGAATATTCCACCACCACATTGAGGCACAAGAAAAGGCCTTTTTTTGTGCTGTGTTGAAGATTATTTATTCTGTTATTTCTGTTTTACTTGTCAATTTTTTTTTCAGTTTTATGGTAATAACCATAATAACCTCATTTGATTTGTCAGGCAGAATAAAGTGAGAGTGTGGAACAAATATGGAAAGGGTGCTTTGAATTCTGACTTAAGGAAAAGAAAATCCCACTGTTTCTTTCCTTCTTTTGCACCCCCACCAACCTGGCAACCTGACATGGCCCATCACAGTTTGAGGTGGCCTTTCTCCGCTATAGCCACACCCCCCCTACACCTGTCATGGGGCCAAGTTCCCACAGCTGTAAGTTGAACCCATGGTGTCATTTTCTTTTGGATGACGTCATGTGGTGGGACTGTGACTGCGTTGCATGACGTGGCGTTGATTGATATCTCTAAACTCTATCTCTTTATATTCTGCCCTCCTTTTATATATATCTATATATATACTGTATATTGTATATTGGCAGTTTGTGGAGTGCAGTAAACCGATGCCTTTCTTGGCTGGTACTTGTTGTATATAATGTAACTCACGTGCTGACTGGTTGGTTGATTATAACTGGAAGTGGCCTTTAACCCTTTGTGCTATTGTACCGTGTGCCCTTGTGATGTTTTACTTTTTCTTGTGGGGTTCATGTGTATGGATGTACTGCATTTTTCTATTTCTCTATTTCTTCACATTCACATCAACAGTGTTTTTTCAAGCAAACTATGATTTATTTTTTATTATTTTTCCTCTCTTATGAAAGTCTGATTCTTTGCAAAAAGGACCTTTTCCTCCCCCCGATCGACAGCTGTTTAGTTGAGAGATGGCCAAGATGACCCTATGTTTGTGTAGCCAATTAAATCTCCACCGTTCACGCAGAGAGCACAGGCAAATGTTGACACTCCACTTCTCCGTGGATTCCATCTGCACAGGGAGTACTTCTGCAAGATTGTTTTGTTTGCCTAACATGAGAATCACTTCCCATTTATTTATTTATGAGGGTGCAAACCAATTACACTGTGATAGCAGAGCTGCAGGCAGCGCTGTAGACCCACATGGCTAGAATCCGTCCACCACACAGCCATACTGTACACAGAGATGTGTAAGCAGGGTGCAGAAATAGAACAAAATACAAACACCTGGGATGAGTATTTGCTGCTGCCTCTTGTTGTATATTTTAGTAGGATTATGCCTCCAGATAAATTAGCTCTTTTTGTTTTTGCTGCGTGTATTTGAGATAATTGTTATTCAGAAATTCTCTAATAAAAATTCTGTGTGTAAAAGCGAAAAGGCAGCGTACAGATTCCCAGTGATAAAGGTCTTCTCTTTGCGAGTGAGTTTGTTTCTATCCCTCCGGGCCAAACCCTGATAAGAGTTAGCCGTTTTCATCGAACTCGTTCTGCCCTGTTCTCTCACAAGCCCTGCAGGTGACTCTCCCCTCCAATAGTCTCTCCAATGAACTCAGGGGGGTGTCTAGCCAGGCAAGCCGGGAGGGATAAGGTCTTTCTGGCATCAACTATGCCTCTTAACTGCCAGGTGTCTTTTATGGAGCCATCTAAGTAGGTGGTGGTGTGGTGGGGGGAGGGCATGATGCTGAGACAAAAAGCTTGTGAAAAAATAAATAAATAAATTCTTTATTATTTGACAAAGTTGGAGGGTGAAGTAGTTGTGATGTTTTCAAAGATGCGGTTTACTTGGGGGGGAAAAAAAAAGATCTATTTTAAAGCCACTGTGTGTTTCTTCTGCTTTGTGTTAGATGTATAGCGAGAGTCGCTCGTAGCTTATAAAAGAGAACATCTGTAATCGGGGACTGTTAGTGCTTTATGCTGCTAATGGCTGGGCTCCCTTTGGCACACATAAGAAACAACTTAGAATCTCTGCTCCTACATCTAAAAAGGCAGATCTATTATGAAATGGTAACAAGCTCATTTACAGGAATGGAAAGGTAGAACAAAGAGCATCATGGGCGCGTGTTCTAGTGACAAAGTCAGACCCTTTCATGTTCACTTCCAGAGAGTGATTTGCTGTGATTTTGTAGCCTTTCTTCACCCACGTCATAGCTCACAACATATTAGAGATGATAGGCTGTAAACTAGATCTTTCATACCCACAGATCGACAGCACAAACACATTTAGTAACAGTATAGCATATCAAGTCAACACAAAGGCAGGGGAGATGCTAGCTTGGTTTTTCATGGGATCCTAATTAGAGGTTATTTCTTGAAATATGTATCTCTTTTTTTTCATATTGGACCACCATCAGTTTTTCTGTCATTATAATCATTACACAATTTTAACACTCGCACACACACTTGTCCTGTTTTCTTTATGTTTCCTTCTTGTTTTTTTGGTATTTTGTTTATAATGAATTAACAATAAGATGAATGACGGCAACATCTCAGGCACCATTCAGCTGTATTTTTTTTTTTTCTTTTTCATGCAGGGAGATGTAGTCAGTTTAAATTAGGCCTTCCTTGGATTAGTGCTGTCACAGTGTAGATGTCTGTTCCATATGGTTAAAACACAAATCTCCCACCCCACCTCTTGCCCACTTATTTCTGGTTTTGATTGACACACTCCTCTTTTTTTTTTTTCTCCTCCCCGTCTGTTTCTCATGCTGTTGGCTGTGCCTGTCAGTCTGTGTGATAACCAGGAACCAGCAACCCTGAGCATGTTTGCCGCAGCCTCACTGAATCACTCTCCTTATTCTCCCCTCTCTCTTTCTCCCCCTCTCGCTCTCTCTGTGTCACAGGATGAAGGGCCACAACACCTTATTTCCACAAGTGCAGTAAAAGTACAAAGACTTCTTGCTCTGCTACATATCATGAAGGAAGGGTGGTCCCTTGATCCTGCTGGAAAACCCGCTGAAAGATTGGGTGACTGAGAGAAGGATCCCAGAGTTGTTGTTTTTTTTTTCCTTTTCCGTTTTTTAATTTTTATTTAATTTTTTTCTTTCTTCGCAAATGCCTCTTTTTTCCCTGTTTTGCTTTGGCGTCTGTGGAAGAAGATTTTTTGCAGAGACCAACTTTTTGCTGCTGTTTTTTAGACATGATGGGAAAAAAACCTTTATAGACTCATTATGCTCAAAGCATGCATACTGACACAGGATATAGATAAACACACATAAACACACACATAACAAACAAATCATACACATTTAAAGATGCTACACCTAAAAAAACAAAACAAATGAAAAATGAAAAAAAAAATCTACTTTGTACATGTATAAATACGTGCAAATGCCAACTCAAGTACTGAAGCAAACACACGCGTGTGCACGCACACACACATACACACAAACACACACACCAGCCTGCTGCCATTTTGGTTTTTGTGCCTACACAGGTGTTGTGCTCTGTGACAGGGCAAGCTCTGGATCGAAGAGGAAAACGAAAAAGAAGAAGAAGAAGAAGAAGAAGAAGAAGAGGAGACAAGAGGAGAATCCAGGATAATTTACATGCATCATTCCTTAGGAAATAGGGACCAAAGGACTAAACGCTTTTTAAAAGAATATAAATATATAAATATATAAATATATATTTAAAAACTCATACCTTGTAGCTGCAAGTATTACAATTTACTCGTAGTAAAAAAAAATCATTAAATCAATATCCAGTGGCCTACTGTAAGTACGAATAAAAGAAAATGGAAATAATGTATAAAAAAAAGACATGGAATCGTAGTATAGGGGCTGATCTTTTGCTCTGGATGCTGATTTAGCACCAGGTTGTAGAATAGTAAAGTAGACTAGAAAAAAAAAATGTAGATTTGCTAACTTTTGCTGTTGTTTAAAAAAATACTTGAAGTTGTAATGAAAAGGGGGTAAAAAGAGGGGGGAAAAAAGGAAACATTCATCTGCCCCTGTGAGCAACGCGTCTCTTTCTCCTGGATGTTAAAGGTATCAGCCACTGGATATCTCGCCCATCATAATGTACAAGTCACTGCACTCTCTGACAGCTATGAACAGACTGTTCTGGATGGGAAAAAAAGAATGACAAGAGAGAAAAAAAAAAAGACTGAACTTACTAATGTCTGTGCTGGACAGGGTGCAGACGTTTAAGGCTTCTCACTGGCCTTTGTGTTCAAGCGACAATCCACTGTAAAGACCAAGCAAAATGGACATGGGGTGTGTCTTCTGTTTTTTCCCTGTTTTTTTTTTTTTTTCTTGACCTTTTGTATTGCAACATGGGGTGTGAATTATGAAGCCACAAATTGTTAAAAGAAGATGGTTCTATAAAGAGAGATGGACACAAGCATGATCATGAGGGGAGCAAAAGAGGATGAGGAGTGAGGCGACAGCTACTGAAACTGCCAGCAGAATGAACTCAGTGTATAAAGGAATTGGCCCTTATGGCATTGGAAATCCTTCAAAAAAAAAAAAAAAGAAAAAAGTATGACCGCTGTAAACAACCAGGACTTATATAAGCAACATGCCAAGGATATGTGTGTCCACTGGAGATGCTACAAAACTCCAGATTGAGAAAAATGGCACCTTGTCTCTTGGCAGATACAAACAAACATTTATCTGAAGACAAACTCAATTTACTGTATTGATGGCAAAGGAGTGCAGGCTTTTAGTGCTCATTTAGTTCTGTCAAATGTAATGTAAATTCCACTGGTAACATGTTCCCTGACCTGCTTTCCTCATATATTATACATAGAGCCTATGGGAAAAAACAAAATGCACACACACACATGTACACACACACACACACACACACAGCTTAAACAAACTATATCTAAATTAGATCTAACAGTCACTTTTAACCATCATTCAGCTGGCCTGTAGCCTCTCTGACACTGACGCCAGACAGGACAGAGTAAAGCACTCCAGTACTGTCATGTCTTGATTTAGAGTCCTGTAGCCTTTATTTTGACTGTTTTAGAGCTCTGGATGCAGGCTCTTTTCTAAAAGCAGATCAATATGTTTGGAATGAGTCTAGAGGGAGGAGCGATGCCGTTTCAGTTTACTCCCCAGTTTTCTCTGTCGAAACACCAGCTCACATCCCTACACCAGCCCTTTGAGTACTGACAGTTGGCGGTAAGAGGCCGGGCTAGGCAAGAGGGAGAGACGGAGTGGAGGTGAAGAGAGGAAGTCAACAACCAGACATCACATCGAGATCCTTTAAACTGATGCTTCTAGGATGATACCCAATTATTTAATCGATAAAATGAGAAGCAGTTGCCAAGCCCCTGGTGACAAACACTATGTATTTGTGCTATATGCTTTAAAAAGAATTGAAAAGAAGTGAACGGGACTGGAGTTTTGTACCTTAAGCTCCAGTCCAACCAGTTCCTGTTCACTACTGAGACTCTTCTCCTTGCTGTTCCTTCCCTCTCCCTCTCTTTATAGGGAGAAAAGCAGACCTGAAGGAGGGAGTGATAAAATGTGCTAGCAGATTCCAGACTCTTTATTGTACCACCATTGTCTTGTCATTTAAATAAGGAGAAGTTCTTGGGTTTAAGCCCGTGATATCAGCATGCCATGTGCCCCCTCTCGTTCCCCCTCGTCCTAAGAGCAGCCATGCCTTTCCAGACCTCGGCCCGGTTGTTCAGCGGCTCACGCCTCGGAACACCATTTTCGAACCTGGCTAATGTCTGTGCTCACTACCCTTCAATTATCTCCTGCACCGCATTAGACATGCTATTTCACCTTTCCTTCTAATCACACTATAATCACCAGCCTCTATACATTAGCAGCAACCAAGTGAAAAATCTCTGGGATAATCACTTGGACCAAATGACGGGAGAGATGGTCCCCTGCATGCACATGGATGACAGAAGGAAGATTAGAGAGAATTATGTTTGTGCCTACTCGCTGGCAAGGCTGCTGACAGCTGACCTGGCACCAATAATACTGCCAAATTTACCCGAAGAAGCGAAGGAGGATGTGGGATAAAACTTTCTTAATATTGAGGGTAGATTGACATTGCCAAAAATTAAAAAGAGGAAGATGGATGGTAAAATGTATAAAAACTATTTTTTGTTTTGTTTTTTTACTTTACCTCAAACGTTGCAGCAATAGTTGCTCAGAATTGGGTCAAAACCAACAATTTTACTGGAAATCCTCAATTTTGTAGAAGCAGCTGCTGTGAGGCCTATGTTATTGTGCTTCTTCTTTCAGCACATAATTGTGTCTCAACAGTCTCTACAGAGGGCGTTTTTTATTCTTTTCTTTTTTTTTTTTTTTTACAAAATAACTTGTGCCACATTTCTTTCTTTTTCTTGCTTGTATCCCTGCTGGGACACCTGCAAAGCACAGTATTGTTCAACAGTGAAATAATATTTGTGAAGCACAGTAGTTCTTCAGAGTCAGAATAATGCCCATCAAAATGACAGCTTTTTAAAGACTGCTTTCAAATACATGTAAGGTAAAAAAAAAAAAAAAAAACCCAGCCCTCCTTCCTCAGCCCTCAATCGGACGTTAGATGCAGAAGCTTCATGAACTGATTTGAAGCAGGTGAAGTACGCCATGTTCTGCAGGCTGTTTGTGCTCATTATTCATATGACGCTGAACTACTCAATGGCAGCAAATCTAATGTTCCATGAGCAATTAAATTTCCCGGGCTTGTCTCGGCCAGCTTTAGAGTACGCTCTGCAAGTGAGGCTCCGTCAGGCTGAACATGAACCTCGAATGCCTCTACTGATCTTCTCTGTCTTACGCCAGATGCTGTACTAGTTCCCGCTGCTAAGGGCGGGTCGAGTCCCCAGTGAGCCAAATTCCAGCCTAGCCTAGTATCCTGCTGTCTGCTAAGCTAACAGTTCAGTGTTCGTGTAGCATCTCTGCGATGCCAGGGCTAAATTAGGCAACGTGAAGTCAGCGTTTCAAAACTTTTAACAAGGGTGCTGTTATTACTTTTACATCCCAGGGAGGATGTTACTGAAGTGACGTGCATAAAAAAGAAAAAAAGAAAAAAAGAAAAAGCTCTGGAACAACCAAAACAAGAAAAAAAAGTTTGTTGGTTTTAGATTTTCTCATTCCCTCCTTTATTGACATAAGTCTGTGCCTGCCGTGCTCCCAGCTCCGGTCTGGTCTGGTTTATAGTCCAGGCAATGTTTCACCTCTAAGAGCAATGACAAATGTCGACCCAGCAGGCACTCACCAAGCTGTTGCCAAACTGTTATTTGATATTTGCCCTCAAATTTACAAAGCGAAAATGTAACTTGGCATTTTACCCCAAGGAAATTAGAATGAATGTAATTAGTTATGAGAATATGACTGAAAGCAGGGAAAGGTATACACAAGTATAGTGAGTTCTTTTTCAATAAGCAGTCAGACCACTTGCTCCTCTGCCACTGATGCATGTACCCACTCTGACCTTGTATCATTAAATGAAAAACCGGGTGGTGTATACATAGTATACCCATTTCCATACTTGCCACTACACCACAGCTCACAAGGTCAGTCCTCGGGAGAAGCATGTTTCCTTAAAGAGCCCCAGCCAATGGCAGGGCCGAGCAGAGAACTGCTCGAGCATGTCTACGAATCTCCAACCCCCTGGGTGCATAACACTCACCCTAAAATAGCAGTGATTGTCAAGGAAAGGAAGTGAAATGTAATTGACTGAAAGTGGAGAGATAATTAAAGGAACCTGTTGGACAGGAGGGAAGAAATTAATGCCTCTCATTTAATAGCTGCTTTGGGAGAGAGCTTTTCCGTCATCTCACTTTAGCGCAGAAAGGGTTTTTGCTGTGGAAATGGGATTTCGTATGGAAAAAGTTGGAGGTGGAAATAGGCACTGGGTGGTGGGGGGTGCTGTGTGCTAAACTGAAACTCCACAAAATCGCTCCCAATACTCAGGGCATCAGGCGCTATGATGTCATGATTAGTGGAGAGGTTCAGAGCCTTTGCCTTACCCCTGATCCTGAGGGAGGTCGAGCAGAATCACAAATGCGATGTGAGTGGGAGCTGTAAGATCGCATCCCATCCCGGGGAGTGCTGAGCCAGCAGAAGGGCTGAAGAACCACCTAACCCGTGCTTTGGATTTACAGTATCATCATCCAATTCCAACAGTAAAAAAAAAAAAAAAAAAAAGAAAAAAAAAAG